TCTTCCCTCTGGCCTTTCTGCTCCAGTCAGGTCCTTTTCTACTGCACTCTCACGGGGCAGCTGATGGGTCTCAAGTCCCTCCCCTGCTTGGCGCCCTTTCCCAGCCCTCCGTCACCTCAGCACGAGGCCTGGTTCTTGCGCCTGGCACTCCAGGACCTCTCCCTGGGATCCTGTGCATCCTCCCACCCCACGTCCACTCTGCGTCGGCTCAGTTCCTCTCGGGGCCGAGGATGCCTCCTGGGGATGGCCCCTGGCTGGCTGGACCCCCCTCCCAAGGAAACCTTGGAAGTAGGCACATGCCCTGCTGGGGTGAGGGGGCACCCCCTTCACTTTGTGGGACCCTCTCTTGGACTTGAGCACTCCAAGTATGAAAGCCAGTGTCCTAGGAGGTGGAGGAGCCTTGTAGAAGGTCACACAGACTGTGTGTGACAAGGCCAGGCCGGGGTCCCGACCCAGCCTGGGCCTGTTTGCTCCAGGTGTGGCGTGTCCAGCCCAACGGGATTGGACCTCTGAGGGCCTAGCACTGGTGGGGTCGGGGTCTCCAGGTTCAGGCAGTTGTTCTGCCCAGGACCACTGCACTGGTTTTTCAACAAACTTTTTATTGGAAACATAAACAACAGAGCATAAATCACAGGTGTGCAGCGCAACCACCACACCATGTGGCCACCACCCAGGTCAAGGAGCAGTGTCACCAGAACCCCCGAAGCCCTGTCGTTCCCCTCAGGCACTACCCCCAGAGGGGGCTACTTTCCTGCCTTCTCTTCATTGTAGATGCGTTGTGCCTGCTTTTCAGTTTTGTGTAAATGGAATCACAGTTTTCCTTTTCTTGTGTAATATTATGCTTGTGAGATCCAGCTGTGGATTTTCATACAATATTTGTCATTTTCTTTACTGTGTATGTATTTTTTTTTACAATGTATTCATCCCTTCTCTTCTTGCACTTTTGGGTTGTTTCTCATTTTCAGCTGTAACAAATACTGCTGTGATAAAATTCTTGTACATGTGTTTTGGCGCATAGGTTCAGTATTTACTTTGGAGTAGAATCACTGAATGACAGAGTATGTGTTTGTCCAGCTGTGGACATGGTCGAATGGTTTGGCAAAGCGGTTGCACCGATGAACACTCTCACCTCCAATGTAGAAGATCTACTTGGGAGTGTGTGTGTGCGCGCAGTGTTTTTCACTTTAGCCAGTCTAGATGGGGGATGTAATGGTATGCCATTGTGTGGTTTTTTAAAATTAATCCTGGAGGGAGGCAGGGAGAGAGAGAGAGTCAGACAGACAGACAGAAAAACAGACAGACATTGATTTGCTGTTCCATTCATTAGTTGTTTTTTGTTATGTGCCCTGACCGGGAACTGAACCCACAACCTTGGCACATGGGGATGACACTCTAATCAAATGAGCTACTTGGCCAGGGTTCATTGAGTTTTCAATGTATATTTATTTCCTTGATTATTAGTGTAGTCAAGCACATTTTTCCCCCCATTTATTAGCCATTTGAACATGCTGTTTTTCTTTTGTCTTCTTTGAAAAGCTCTATTTTACTTTCAGTTGGATTTGCACTCTGGGTGTAATTATAAGGTACAGTTTTTCCCATACAGATTTCCAGTTGACCCGCCCTCTTCCCAGTGCCCTGTGGTGTCACTGTTATCATAAATCGGGTGTGCGTCTACCTGTGGCCTCTGGCTGGGCTTTCCGTTCGGTCACATGGGTCTGTCTGTCTACCCTGTGCCAGTCCCACACCGGGCCGACTAGTGATGGGTCTGTTAACTGTTGCTGTGAGCCCCCCAGGTGTCCTCCAAATGGTCTCGGCCACTCACGGCCCCCTGTGTGCTGGCCCCCTCACCCGCCCCTTAGAGGAGAGCCCCAAGGCTCGGACAGGTCAGGAGACTCGCCCCTGCCCCTCAGCCCTGACTCCGCACCACCCTGCCCTCTGACGCTTGGTGTCATGCGAAGGCTCCCGCCTACACCTCTGGGAATGTAACAATAGTTTGTTTAAGAACCAACTTCCTTTTTCCTTATTTCTTAAAGGAAACTGCGTGTCTGCTGTGAATGGGAAGTCACTGTTACTCTCTGTAACACAGGGTAGCTGGGAGAATCTGAAAAATCCATTCAGTTTCTGCCAGGTGCCGTGGCCCTGAGCCGAGACCCGCTTCTCCCTTAGGTAGGTGGGGAAGGGCTGGGGGCCCCTGAAGGCCTGCTGGCCCAAACCGGTTCTTGAGAGAGGAATGGTGGGGGGACCACTTTCTCACGGACTCCTCCACTGCCACGTCGGACTACACCCTGACACGGTAACGGTGTGAACCGGCCGGCGCTCTGCTTGGGGAAGCCCTCATGTGATAGGGAATCTGGAAGCTTGGGATCCAACTAACAAGCCACAGATGTGTGTGTCTGTGTGTGTACTGATTAAAGCTTTAATAGTAAGAGTAGAAAATGTGGTTTATGGTATAAAAAAATGCGTTTTCTTAAGACAGTACGTACCAATAGTGTGTTTAAACTAAATGCTTCAAAACATTCTGCACAAAGAACTTATAGATCATATTTATTCAATAAAAAAAAGTCTAGTTCTTTAGGAAAATGTTTATTTTTTAAGTTTTTGTTTTAAGATTTTATTTATTTATTTTTAGACAGAGGGGAAGAGAGAGAAACATCAATGTGTGGTTGCCTCTCACATGCTCCCTACTGGGGGCCTGGCCCGCACCCCAGGCTTGCGCCCTTACGGGGAGTGGAACCAGGGACCCCCTTTGGTTCACAGGCCGGTGCTCAATCCACTGAGCCACACCAGCCAGGGTAAGAAAATGTTTTTAAGAACATAACTACAATAAAAAGTTCAAAACCAAAGGATACAAATATTAAATTACTTTATGGTACAGGACATCATAAACTTATTTATGTAATACAGCAGACAGATTTTGTTGTAGAAACAAAATTGGGGGGGAAACTAAGTTAAACAAAAAATTTGGGAGTGGGTATTCATGAATTTTTGGTTAACTGAGGCTTAATATTGTTAAGTGGGTCTTTGAACATCAAATTTTGTTTAAAAATAAAAATTTCCCCAAACATCAGAAGTATACTTTCCTACCTCAGCAAAGATTTTTTTTTTTTTTTTTTTACAGTTTGGAGTTCTAATGTTCATTTATCAAATATATGAACAATATCTGCTTAATTTCTTAAACTTAACTGCCCGTGTCACCTTCAGAGGGTGATTTTGTTGCATTTCCTTCTTACCTTTTTTCCCTCTGTGATCCTACGGCCTCTGCTAGGGAACATCCTGAAACACGCTTAGGTAAAAGTTGGTCTTAGAGAAATTTTTTTCATAAATAATTCAGCAAGTATTTATGGAAAGCCTACTCCACTTCAGGGTCTAGAAAGAGCAAGGCAGACACAAGGCCTGCCTTCAGAGAGCTCACCGTTTAGAGTACAGCGAGTCGAGCCCTGGTTCTGAAACGCAATGAGACTGCATTTCATTTTTAAAGATTTGCATAGATATTGATTTCCTCTGTAAGGGCCAATGAAACATCCCTTGTGCATATCGTTTGTTAGATTCTCATGAAAGGAATTTTGAGATCTGCTTATTGACGAGGCCTCTACGATGCTTTCTCCAATCACCTTCTACTCCTTATGACGATGTTGGGTCCCCCTCAGTCCCCCTTCGCCCATCCAGCTGGCTTTTCCTGTGACGTTTTGCTACAGCTTTCTGTCTGCTTCGCTGTCTGCTGGGCTTCCCCATCTTCCCTTTACTGGTTTCTCATTCACTTAATGAATCTTAACACTTTCTTAAACGTTGGGTCTTCGGTGAGTACAATTAATCAGCATTTCCAGTGAGCATTTTCTTGAGCTTTGTTGTGAACTTCAGGTCTCCTTTACAATACTCTCTTCCTGAATGCTATTTACAAATATTATTCTAAAAAAATCTCCAAAAAAACAGTGTTTCTTGAGAAGTCCTGTTTTAAAGGCTGTATTTAAAAAGACTGGTAAAGGTTTGCATAACTCAGCAAAGGATGCTTCTACTTCATTTTCAATTCTTACCATTATAAGCATTGAATTCTACAAGATCACAGTTAAAATCCTTTGGTATGGGGTATCAATTTACACCTAAGGGTAAATCAAAAAACTCAATTTTTGACTCTGCTCTTTAATATTAAATTAAAATTTATATGAACACATGAAGCTTGAAACTTAAAAACAGACAAACAAAAAAAACCTGTGTGATAAAAAGTTAAGACAACCCTGGCCGGGTGGCTGAGTTGGTTGGAGCGTTGTCCCGCACACCAAAGGTCTCAGGTTCACTTCCTGGTCAGGGGACATACCTAGATTGCAGGTTTGACCCCAGGTCAAGCACATACCTCAGTTGTGGGTTAGATCCCTGGTTGGGGTGTGTGCAGGAGGCACCTGATGGATGTTTCTCTCTCTCTCTTCTTTCCTTTCTCTATAAAATCAATAAACATATCCTCGGGTGAGGATTTTTTTAAAAATTAGGACAGTTAAGTACTCATTGATGTCTATATCCTTTATCATAAATGATATATAATTAAGAATTCAACGATTTTTAAGTCTGCAAGTCAGTGCTGTCCAGCAAACTGCCACGTATGATCCACAGTCATTGAAAAAATTTTAACTTAAAGACAAATAGAACGATTCAATAAATTTTAATTTTCTGGATGTTCTCAGAAAGAATTATCAGAAGCATCCTCCAGTAATAAACAACAGTTGGATAATCCATTTACTCCAAATGAACTAGCCGTGTGTGCTGTGAGGTAGCAACGAAAGACTAGGTCTGTGGAGAAGGTACATACCTTCAATGCAGAAGCTTCCGTCTTCACATGAAGCATGGGAATAACAAGGAGGGACATTGTTTCATCAACCATTGGTGTTTTCATAGTATTTTAAATGCCTGATTTCAGTTTTACAACAACATCGCCAATATTTATTTTGAAAGGTAATCCTGTCTTCCAAGTAGCGGACATTGACAACTTCAACGCGATCTCTAGGAATAATTCACAGCTCTGAACCATGCTTTCCGAAGACAGTTCCAGCAGTCTGTGCAGGATTTATTTCTATTCCATCATTGGTAATAATTGCAGTTGTGGCTGCAGGGACTTTAAATTCTTCTGCTGCAAACTTTAAAACAGCTATGAAAGGTGTCTTTTCAGGAACACTGAGTGCTGCGTACAGCAGCCACACGTCGGGTGTCAGCGTGATCTTAAAGGAAACCTTCAACATAGTGTAGCTGGTCTGGGCAGAGACCAACAAGCTGCAGGTTTTGGATACATTTCCTGATGTCCTTTCTCAGCTACAAAATGGGACTAAAACTGTGTCCTGTTTCTTGACCAGGGAAGGCTCACTGGCATCACCTCCCTCCCGTAGCTGGCTCAGTGTGGCCTGCTGCCAGAGGGGCCCTTTCTCTGTCCCGCCTGTCCACACCACCTCCAGCAGGTACCACAGCAGACCAGGCCACGGCCTCCTTGAAAGGGGTGCACAACATTTCCAGGGCGAGGACAGAGGCTCCTATAGGGCAGGCCCTTGGGGAAGGGAGAGAGAAAGAGAGGGAGAGAAACATCAATGTGTAGTTGCCTCTTGTGCACCCACTACTGGGGACCGGGCCTGAAACCCAGGCATGTGCCCTGACTGGGAATCGAACTAGTGGCCTTTCGTTTCACAGGCAGGCACTCAATCCACTGAGCCATACCAGCCAGGGAAGATGCCGCTTTCTTACTCTGCCCCCTTAGAAGCTGGAACAAGGCAGGGCTGGTAGCAGTTCAGAGGGTGAGAGACTTACCCAAGGAAATACAGCACTTAAGTGGTGCAGCTGGGAGTAGAACTCAGGTCTGACTGACCTGCAGGAAGACTTGGGCTCTTTGAGCTCGCTGGCAAGTCCTTGTTCTGACCCAGCTCCGTTCCCCACGCTCAGTCCACAGGGCCCCACCTGCTAGGCTGGGTCTGAATTGCTTTGCACTTTCCTGCTGTGAGCCTATTCTTGAGCTGCTGTTCCCTCTGCCCAGAAGGGGCCATCTCTTCTCAAGGACACCTGACTCCTGGGGCCAGGCCTTTGTGTCCCTCCTGCTGAAACCTCTGAAATGACACATTTTTCATTTTGCCTTGTATTTCTGAAGTTCGCTGGGGACTGAAACCCTGAATTTTTGTAATCCTCCTGGCCAGAGTCTGGAAACTTTGTAGACATCCCCCAGGGGTACATTGCATTAAAGTGGACAAAGTGCTATTCTGCATGCTGGCGTCTCATTTGATCCTCCCAGAGGCCCTGGCACATTATCTCTTCCTTCCAGACAAGGGCTGGGCAGCCCAGAGAGGTGACATGGCCGGTCCAAGATCGCACAGCTTACAGGGACATTGGGGAACTAAAGCCAAGCCTCCGTCAGGAGGAGGGGGATGGCTGAGCCGCAGCTGAGAGCCCCAGCCGTGGGAGGCAGCGGGAGGGGCAGAGAGAGGCCAGGCCCAGTGGGAAAGGGCGGGCCCTGGTCTTCAGGAGACCTGAGAACCGGTACTGCTCTGATATGGAAAGCTGATCCCCACCGAGAGTCCTTGCAGTCTTTGAGCTTGTTTTTCCCATCCGTGAAAGAATTCCTCCTGTGTCGCCTGTGTTGGTTCATTCAACACGAATTTACTAAATGTGCCTGGCCAACCTTGGACCCTGGGGACACAGGGAGGAGCTGGATAGGGCCCTGCGCTGGAGGGGTGCAGGCGGGACTGGGGAGACGGGCAGGTCCTACAGAGATAGCGTACAATGTAATGAGCCTGGTCCCAGGGGTTCCAGGATGGCAGAGGGGAGGAGCAACGTGGGGGACAGGCGGGAGGTACTTGGGCTCGGTCTTTAAGGGACCATGTGTTCTCCTGGTATGCACGTGTGGGGGAAGAGTGACTGCGGAGGCCCTGAGTAAACAGCTCTAGAGAGCCCGAGGGAGCTCACAGTCCTGGAACAGTGGCCCAAGGCGGAGAGCGGCAGAGGGTGTGTGAGACCGGCCGGGCGGCCGCATGAGGGCAGGATGAAGTGCAGCTGGCCCACGGGCTGTCCTGTTGGTGCGTGGTTCACGCACCAAGGAAAAACGTTCCGAAGTGGGCAGTGCCAAAGCTGCAGGCTCAGGTCCAGGCCAAGGCCTGGCTTTCTGGACTCTGGATTTATCCATGAGCTTCTATGCTTATGCCTGGAAATGCAGCAAGAGAGCAAATTTCAGGGGCTGGTGACTCTGTGACCCCAGGGAGGTATTGACTCAGTGAGTGGGAAATGACCTTGGGGCAAACGGAGGGCGCAGGAGGGCAGCCAGCGGAGGTGCAGCCTGTGCAAAGGCCGGGGCCAAAGAGCCAGGCACAGGTAGGCCAGTGTCAGGCCGGCTGGCAGGGGTGAGTATGGGAGGGACAGCTGAACTGGGGCTGGCCCCCAGCCAGCCAGGCGTGGCCCAGGTCCTGCCAGGCCCTGGCCCAGCTGAGCCCTCCCCTCTCAGACCCCCACCTCCCTTTTGCCCTCCCCAGGAGCAAACCTTCCCCTCAGCGTTGGCTGCTGTAAGCCTGGAGGGCCGCCAGAACCCTCATTTTCCTGCGCCCTGGCTGGGTGACCTCAGCCAGCTTGCTCCCCTCCCAGGGCCCTTTGGGCTCTGAACACTGGAATTGCTAGAGCTGACTTCTGGGCTCCTGCTTTCAGCTTCTTTGATCTAATCCTTGCAGCTTAAATTGCTTCCTGAGAGGCCCTGCAGAAGCTGGAAGCCTTGGTGCTGATGACTCTCCTGGTGGCCGGGTGCCAGAAGCCCCGGGCTGGCTCTCCGGGCCCCCCCCGCCTCTTTCCTGCAGGCCTTCAAGGCCGGAGGGTGGCTGGGAGAGAGCAGGGTTATTGGCCTTCCTGGACAGAGGAATGGCCAGAGAGTTTAAGTGGCTGGCCTCAGGTCACACAGCAGTGGAGCACGCAGGCCCAGTAGGACATGCGGGTAGAAGGTGAAGTGGCCGTGGGTCCAGCACAGGGGACAAACCGGCTCTCAGCCCGTCAGCAGGCGAGTGGGGACGAGGGCCCCTGCCCGCCCTCTGCATTCATCGTGTTCCACACTCACCGCCCGTTCTCACCTGCTCTCCTTCCTGCCTCTCCCTTCCCTGTGGATGCCCTTTTCCCTTTCCTGGGAGGCTGGCTCAGCCGGGGGTGGTCCGAGGGGGTGTGAGTCCGGCACTCAGCACTTCCGCCTGCGTTGTGAGGTCACCAGGCCAAGGTGGAGGCACCGAAGTCAGAGGATATGGCTGAGCCTCTGCCATGGAACGCGGGCGAGTCACCTCCCCTCGCTGAGCCTCAGTTCTCTTGTCTGAAAAAAGGCAGCAATGAAAAGCCTACACAGCGCTGTTCACACACGCTGTACACAAACCTCCCGCCAGGTGGTTTGCACACGGCAGGTGCCAGAGGCTCCCTCGGAAGTCAGAGGCGGCTTGTCCCTGTCTCTCGTTCCTCTTCACGCTGGCCCGCTAAGCAACCTCTTTGGCCTTTGATTAATTATAACATCATCCAATTATTGAAGCAATCGTTGTTCCCATTGTGGAGATGATAAATTGGGGACTCAGGCTGAGTGACTTGTTTAAAGTGACACAGCAGGTGAGTAGTGCAGCTGGGACTGGCATGTGCATCAGTCTTGCTCTGAGGCTCAGGCTCGCCCAGAAGCCGGCCTACTGTGCCTCGGTTTCACCCAGCGGTGCTGGGAAGTTGAAACCTGTGCCGCGCGGCCCTGGACAGGCCCCAGGATGGGTGGAACAGGGGAGTGTGGAGCGCTGCCAGCAGTCCAGATGGAGTCGGAGATACGGGGACATAAACGGGGCTGTCAGCTATGTGCCTGGCTGTCCAAGCACCTGTCAGGGTGTCTGATGTGTCAGGCCCCGCTGGCTGTTGCTCTGAACCCTGTCCTCCCCTCCCGGAGGCCTTCCTTTCCGTGTGGGTCCAGTCCGTGTCCCTCGTGTTTGGTTGGCACATGCCTACAAGGCTTGGGGCGCTGGGCCAGCCGCCCGGACTCATGGGGGCTGAAGGGAGGGTGACATGCTCAGCCACGCCCTGTATCGGGCTCTGCCAGTGGCTGTGGGTGCAGGGGGACAAACCGAGTAGACCCCTGCCTTCTGGGATGTCTGGTCTCATGGGACACTGGTGGTCCTCTTCCCTGGGCTGGAGAATCTGGGGGATGTATGGGGGGAGACAAGGAGCTAAGTTTGGAATTTGTGTCTGGATGGGGCCCACGGTTCCCTAGGGAGTGGGCGCACGGGGGCCCAGAAGAACGGTGTGGCTGAACACAGGGGCCAGAAGCTGCTGCGGGGAAGGGAGTTAGAAGACAGACCACCGGGGTTCGCACTGGGGAGGGAAGGTTGGAGATGGGGGTGTGGTCAGAGTCGGCTCCGGAGGCCCCTGAAGCCCCAGAGGAAGAGGCTGTTCAGGAGTGTGAGTGACAGCAAGGTCTGGGAGGCTGTCCCGCGAGAGTCTGACTTCAGGGATTGGGAGATCACGTGACGGGGTGGGGGGTCTTCAGTGGAATTAGGTCATTGGGATAAGGAGCAATGAGAGTGCTGCCTACGGGACTGGAGACATTTATTCCAGAAGTGCTGGAGGGTGGGGGCAGGAGGGAAGGAACGTGAAGGATGGCGGGCCAGGGGAGGGGCCAAGGTTCGTCCACACAGGGCAGGCCTGTGCCCCTCACACGAAGGGCCGAGGGTCTGGAGGAGAGAGGCCTGGAGACGATGCTGCTGCTCCCCTGGGAGTGTGACAGCAGCCAGGGGGGTTTAGGGAAGTTGGGGGCCCCACGTGGTTGTGCCCAGCCTGTTGGCCTGCTGGCCTGGTGTCCCCTCCAAGCATCAGAAAAGAGAGAATTCAGGCTACGGCGTCAGGCCAGTCGGCCCCTGTTCCTGCTCTGTGCGTACCAGCTGTGTGACCCTGGGCAGCTCTCGCCCCCTCTCTCAGCCTTCATTCCTGGCCAATGGGAGTGAGGATGCCCACTTCACAGGCCTGCAGGCAGGGAGCCGGTGGGGATCAGCGGACTCAGGGCCTCAGTCCTCAGAAAGTAATGTTCGTCTTGCCTTCTGTCTTCCCAGGTGTCCCTGGAGCTTCCCACGCACCTACCCAGCCCCCTGCTCGCTTGTCTTGGCCTCCCCTCCCTGGGCAGCAGCCACCATGTTCTCGTGCGTGAAGCCCTACGGAGACCAGAACTACTCAGCCCTGAAGCGGGCCTGTCTGCGCAGGAAGGTGCTCTTCGAGGACCCCGACTTCCCGGCCACCGACGACTCGCTGTACTATAAGGGCACCCCGGGGCCTGCTGTCAGGTGGAAGCGGCCCAAGGTCAGTGTCTGGTCTGAGCTGGAGCTGAGGCCAGCAGGCCTGGCCCCCCACAGTCTACAGGGACAGTGGGTGGCTGAGAAAGTGGAGGGGCTGGTGCTGGGCCCTCCTGCCGTGGGACTTGGCCTAGATGGGGGCCGAGGGGGGAGAGGAGCCAGGAGAGTGGGCCATAACCCCCTGGCCAGCACTGCCCAGCCAGGACTCACCCCTCTCTGGGCCTCAGCTTCCTCACAGGGGACCTGGGGCCCTCTGCCCTGTCACCTTCCCCCCAGGGTCTTTTATTGGCTTAAAAATGAGGTGATGTGAAGGCGACCTTTTTTTTAGTGAAATTCAAGTGTAAGTGACACTTAAGTCCCAGTTAGTGATGTTCACGTGCAAGGAATTCACTTTGCTGATTATGCTCATAATGATTTTGAAATAGTCGTTTGCTGTAAATGAAAAGTGCTTATTATTCTGATTCATAAATAATAATAATAGCAGTAAAAAATGATAGTACCTCATAGGGTTGTTGAGAGCAGTAAAAGAGACGACGCGCGGACGCCTGGCTCGGGGCTCGGCCCGGCGCCCAGCAGAGGCAGCTGTCGCCGTCGCTGCTGAGGATGGCGAGTGATGGGGCTCTGGCTGGCTGCTCCCCGTCCCAGCCTCGGTCGCTGAGGCTAGAATGCATTTAACCGAAGTGTTTGGGCTCGTGGCTTGATTTCCTCCTCTTTAACCTCTATTCCTGAGGTTGAGAGCGGGTGCCCTTGGGGGGCCAGGGCATGGGGAGGCGGCTGGAGGTCATCGCCCAGGTGACTCTGTGAGAGTTGGTCACACAGCAGGGGCTTCCGTGCAGGGGACTGCTGGACTGGGGCGCCTGGGGCTGGGAGGAGTCTCCTGCTGTCCCACCCTCAGAGCGTGCACTTCCCAGGAAGGGCTGTGCAGGCAGAAGGCACAGTGGGAAGGAGACACAGAGGCCTGAGACCCTCAGGCTTATTTGGGACATGGCGGTGCCCCTGGAGCACAGGGCTTGTGGAGGAGTGAGGGGTCGAGGAGGCTGGGGTCCCACGGTCTGTCGGTCGGTCTGTCGGTCGTCGGTCGGGTCGGTGGGTGGGCGGGGGGCCTGGCAGCTGTGCTCTGAGGTGGCAGGGGCCCTCGGGTGAGGCTTTTAGCAGGTGTGACAGGGCCAGATTACCATATTTTGCCATGTATAATGAGTGCTTTTTCCCAAATTTTTGAGGGAAAAATAAGGATGTGTATTATACGTGGGTAGTACTAATTGTGTATCTACGTAAATGTTTTTAATTCTTTTACTTTTGCTTGTGCGTTAAAAGTGGAACTCTAGAAAGCAATGACACTATCCATATGCAAAATAATACCCTGGCATACGATCATCAGTTGTGTTTCTACATATAAATAAATATTGAATTAAAAAATTAAAATGAAAGGTTTTTGTCTTGAAAGTTTGAGCCAAAAACATGGGTATGCATTATAAACAGCAAAATATGGTGGTAGCATTAGACCGTTCACTCTGGCCACCTGGACATTTGGGGAACATGTAATTGAGTTTTCGTGTTCCTCTCCTAGACTATGGTCTATTCCCATCAAGTTCATTCTAACTCAGAAGTTCCTGTGTATTTTCCTGGACTGGGCAAGGAAGAGAAACGAAGACGGAGAGGGGAAGGCGGGTGCCCGCAGCAGAGCTGGGCCGGGACCCAGGAGTCCTGCCTCCCCTGGCTCTCCTCCCTGACAACAGATAAAGGGGCCCTGCTGCCCTTGACCGCAGCCCCGTGAGCCATACCACAACCTCTGGCCCTGCCTCGTTCTCTGGAACTCCCAGCGGCCGCCTGCCTCTCGGGCCACCCCTTCCTCTCCCCATTGTCTGGTGGGTGAGGTAAGAGGCCAGCCTCAAAGGGCCTTTGTGAGGCCTTGAGTGAGAGAAGGAGGGGGAGACACTCAAGCTTTCTGCCCTCCTCTCACTGCGCCCCCTCCAGACCCTTTCCTGCCCCCCTGCTATCACCCAGACATTTTAGGTCCATGACTGTGAAGCAGGCTAGGGAGGCCTGGCTGGGGAAGTTTGTGCTTGATGCCCAGAGAGGAGGAAACGCCAGGCTGACCAGGCCCGGCATCCGCCTGCTGTGTGACCCTGGAGAGGTCATCTGCCCTCTCTGGGTCTCTTTCCTTTCCTGCCACACTGCCTTCTTGTTCTCTACCGTCCTCACTGGCTTGGTGCCTGGTCCCTTCCAGACACTGGAAGAGAAGAAGCAGAGCTGCCCCTGCCCTGGATGCGCAGGCTGCTGACAGACGGCACGGGGTGGCCGGTAGTGTTGAGGGGGAGCCGTCTGACTGGGGCCCAGGGGCGGTGGTGGGGGATCCGTTCCGGGGTGGGGAGGCAGCCCAAGGCCAGGCATGGCTGACTGGTGTTGGATGAAGAGAGACTGTGGGCCAGTGTGTCAGCAGTGCCCGGGGGCTGGGGGCTGGGTCCGTGTGACCGGCAGGCCCTCACTCCGCTGATAGGCCGGCGGGTGGTGGAGCAGGAAGTTAGGCCAGGCTTGCTTCGGGCAGCGGCGAGACCGGCCCAGCAGGGCGACCTTTACTCCCAGCTGCTCGGCCCTCGGCCAGCCAGATGGGACTTCTGCCTGCGGCACCTGCATTTCTGTGGAGTCCCACTTCCTGGGTCCTGTGCCCTGACTGTGTACAAATAGAGCAAAAAGCCAACTTTCTCAGCCGCCCAGGGAGGCCCTTCTTCTCTCTCACCATCTCCTGCCCCTCCTTGCTGGGCCGTGGGGATCGCGGGCCCTGTGTCCTTGGAGGAGCTCCTCAGCTGGCCTCCCTGCCTGCCGGCCTCTTCCCCGCTTTCCCTCAAAATGGAATGAAGGGGCTGGTTTTCAGCCAGATGGGCTTGGCTTTATGGGAGGTGTGACCATGAGCAAGTCACTTCCCCTCCCTGGGCCTCAGGTGCCTCATCTGTAAATGGAGAGAATAGTTCTCACCGATCGTGACTGTGGGAGGTCGAAATGACTTGAGACCCCCGTGGTGTCAGACCCATGGCAGCCTGATGACAAACTGGCTCCCCTCTCTCCCCCACCTGCCACCTGTGTTGGGGGCCCAGAGCTGGCGCTGCCTGGAAAGTTCTGTCTCTAATGGACTCTACAGGTGGGGCCAGGCCTTGTCCTCCTCAGCCCCGACCCAGGGCATCCCCACCCGGGCAACCTGCCCTGAGCCCACATTCTCCTCCTCTTCCCCACAGGTTCCTTGTTCCTTTGTTTCTTCTAGTTTAGTAAACATCTGCTGGCCTGCCCCACCCCTCTGGCCAGGCCAGGAACAGAAGAGGAGAGGGGACCGCCAGCAAGGCTTCTGACTCAGGGACAATCCCAATACATGGGGGGTGGGGCGCGGTGTGCACTTCCCTCTCTCTCGGGCCCAGAGCCTTTAGTAGGGCCCCTGTTCTTCCTGAGGAGGCAGAGTGCCCCCGCCCTCCATCTAGGGCTCTGTACCCCCCATGTCTGGAGGGAAGCCTGCAGGTCCCTCGATGGGACCATGAAAGGAACCAATAGAGGTCCTACAAACAGCTGTTAGTTTGGGAACCTTCCGAATCCTCCCGAGGTGGCCTGCTGGTCCTCAGCCCCATGTCCAGGGGTCGTGCTCATCATACCGGCACCTGGGGAAGGCCCCACTCCCTGGCTGTGCTGAGCAGTAGCCCCTTTATGCCGCGAAACAGGCAGTTTGTACCAAGGCAGAGGCCCAGGAACAGTCCCTCGCGGCGTACCTCATGGGATTGCCGTGGGGAGCATGGGGTGGGGAGGGAAGTGTGTTGAGGGGATAGGGTGGGAACAAGCTATAACCCCTGAGAACACCGCCTGGTTTCCTGTCCCAGGCAGAGATCCTGCTTCCTTCTGCAGCCTGTTGTCCACGTGTCTGGTCAATTCCTGCTGTGACCTTAGATTCTAGGAGGGAGGTGACTGGCGTAAAGGTGAATGAGGGAAGAAGGGAGGAGGGATGGAAGGTGCCCTGGATCCGCTGTCCGCTGCATTCCTCTTTGTACACCGGGCCTGCAAACCTGAAGCTCTTGTTATGCCGCCGGGGGAGGTGGTCATGGGCAGTGAGCTGTGTCAGGTGGAACTGGTCGGACGTGCTGGGAGGGGTGAGAGGTAACCGCAGGTGCAGAAGGCTGTGCCCAGAGAGAGGGATGTGGGCCAAACGAGCCAGAGATGGCCAGGCCCAGGGCTCACAGCACGTGGCTGTCAGTCCAGTCCTGCATGCCACTTTGCCCTCCTTCCTAGGGCTCCTGCCTGAGCCCCAGCGATGGAAGGGAACACAGGTGGCCGGGAGCCTGGGGGAGGATGGTGACAAAGGTGGGCACTGTCTTGAGGCTGTGGCACGATTGTGTCTTCCGGGGATTTGGAATCCTCGTTCCCCCCAGAGCCTCCCTGACCACCAGGGCTTCCCACGTCTGCTCTGCTGGGGTTGCTGCCTCCGGGCAGCCCCCTCTGATCTCTCCGGGTTCCGCTGTCACAGCTGTGCTTGCACAGAGGGCCTAGTCAGGCTCCTCCTCCGCAAGGGCCCCTGCCTGTGGGCGGGGAGCCTCCCTGTCTAGCTTTGTGCTCTGTGCCTAGCTGATGGCCCAGGACAGGCGGAAGGACAGACGCTGGCCTTGAGAAGCCTGGCCTTATGGTGGCAAGGGTGGGGGTCTGGGCTGTCCCTGACTTTGGTCTCATTATTGTATAGGGAGGCCCCCCTAAGCTGGACTAAAGACAGGCCCAAGGGGATGAGTGAAGGGAGGGTGGCTTTGTCACTCATAAATCTGCACCCACCTGGAGGCCCTAGAGCTGACGGCCTGAACTTGAATCTCAGCTCCCCTCTTCCTGTATGTCCCTGAGCAAGTGACTGAATGTCTCTGTGCTTATCTGTGAAGTGGGGCGGCTAACCCCATCTTGCTGGGTTGTTCTGCCTAGTGTGGGCACACAGTGGGTTCCCAGTCATCATGAGCTCCTTCTGTGGTAGTTCCGTTCAGGGTGCCCCGAGATGGCCTGTGGATTCCCGGACACACTCCACGTGCCGCCACCCTCAAGTGATTTCTCTAGGTTAGAGCTTGTGCATCTGAACCTCCCCCGGCAGTGGGAACGCGCCCGGACGGCTGCCTCCTCTCTGCTCCCTCCCAGCCTTGTGTGCTTGCCCTAGGTCCTTTTCTGCTACAGCTGGAGCAATGCTGGGCCTGGAACCCCGGCTCCTGAGCTCAGTCTCTCTCCCTCTCCCTCTCTCTCTCACTGAAACACTGGAGAAATGTCCACAGCCAGAGCCCTGTTCCAGGGTGGCAGGGCCAGCCTGAGGCTTGCTGCTCTCGGGGGAGGGGCACCCTGGGAGGGAGCTCAGCAGGCCGGGGCTCTGTCCCATCGGTCCACTGCCTTGGCTCAGGACCTTGGGAGCTGTTGTCTCCTCCTGGGCCTCGGTGTCCTCCTCTGCGGAACGGGAAGTCATGTCTCTGTCCAGGGCCATGGCTGGGAAGACCTGACAGGGAAGAGTGCCTCAGAAGCCTCCTCTGCTGCAGACCTTGGGATGCCAGGCGGGAGCTGTCTCTTCCTATGGTGGACTGTGGCTGTGGTCCTCCAGAGATGAAGCCCCCCTTCACCCCTGCCCTGGCAGTCCTTCTGGCCCCCGGGGAGGCAGATGCTAAGTCCTGGCTCCCTGGCTCAGAGTGCTGGGCTGGGAGATAAGATAAGGAGGAGGACGGAGGGAAGCAAGACTTCCGGAAAGCGGCCTCGCTGGGTTCCAGGGACCTGGGGCGATAGCTCTGCAGCCTGTGCTCTGGATCTTGCGGGTGGAGATTGTGTTCTTTCACGGGGTCGGAGAAAAGCATTCCAGGGACCCACGTAGGAGAGATTGTGGAGGGGTAACACTTATTTTGAGTAAAAATAAAAGGCTGCCCCTGGGTTTTCAGTGTCTCATTTCTGTCCGTCCCGCTGTGGAAAAAGTCCAGCCTCGCCTTCACCAAGGCCAAAACAAAGACCAGTGTCCAGAGATTCGTGCCATAAAGTTGCTGGTGGAAATGATATTCTTCCCCAGGATTACAAGAAAAGCATTTCACGGACCCACATACAGGGAATTGTGGTGTGGCAAGTTTTACTTGGGTGAATGGCTGTCCCCGTGTCCCATCTCCATCTGTCCTGCCATGGAAAAAGTCCAACCTTGTCTTCGGCAAGGCCAAAGTGTCCAGAGTTTTCTGTGCCATATTAAAGCTTAGTCCTTTGGTGCCTGGGTGGCCCCCTGCCAGATGCAAGGCTGCTAGGCCACATGGTTGCGTGTATTCCCAGATGTGAGAGAAAGAACGCAGGAACGGATGGGGCGAGTGCAGGTCGCCGAGGGGGATTGAGAGGGCGAGAGGGCGGCTTTGCTTCCTGGAAGGTTATAACCAGGAGCTTTTTCAAAATAACTGGTCAAATTCCCAAGCTTTCACGGGCTTCTGATGGATCCACCCCCTGACCGACGATCCCTTTCCCAGGTTAGACTGACAGACCTCTATGGTCAAGTTCCCATCTTGACTTCTATTGCACATGTCCTTCCCTTCCCCCAGTGGTCTGCGGGGAACAGACTGGTGGCTTCCCGGGGAGACATGTGAAGCTGTGGCTTCCTGGTTAAACAAACAGGCTCAGTGTCCAGTTCCCTTTGTTTTCTTCTTTTATTAATAATTAGTTAATTACCTACAAAAACGATATTAAAGCTGAGTCCTTTGGAGACTATGGGGTCTGCCGCAGGCCTCAGGGGGCTGCCAGGCCCACATGGTTGCTATGGAGAGAGACCATGCAAGTGCACAGGGTGAGCGTGTTACTGAGCCAGAGAGAGAAGGGCTTTGTCTTTGTTAAGATGATTACATTATCTCTGGTTTGGGATATACCAGGTGCTTTTTCAAAATAACCAATCAACTTCCCAAGCTTTGACAGGCTTCTGATAGGTCCACCCCCTGACTGATGTATTTCCTGGATCTTCCAGAGTTGTGTCTTTTATCCAATTCGATCCTTTTCCCAGGGTAGACTGACAGGCCTCTGTGGTTGCCATCTTGGTTCCTATTGCGCATGTGCCTACTTCCCCCTTTCTTGTTCTGTCCCTTCCGCCAATGATCTGCGGGGAACAGACCAGTGGTTCCCTGGGGAATGTGTGAAGCTGCAACTTCCTAGGGAAGCAGGCAGGCTTCTGCTCCCTAGTTTATTATGCTTCTTAATGTCTGGTTTCCATTGCTGTCTTCCTTCACTAAAATCTAGCTACCTATGCTAACATGGGGAAGCCGCCTTGCAGCTTGGCCCTGAACTTGTCACTCTGAGTTCCATCTGAAGCCACTCATATCCTCAGGGAGTTATGGTCCTCAATCTGGCCCTCTAAAACACTTGTTCTCAGGCAGAGGTAACAATAGGGGTCCCAAACACTTTCATGAGAAGGGATAGCCCTTTGCCCCACTTTCCCTTGCAAGTGCTGTGCCTCCAAACCTGTGGAGTCCTTACACGGCCCTGCAAGGATAATAATCTATCTCCTTTCCATAGGACAGGAAACAAAGGCTCAGGGAGGCTGAGCCACTGGCCCAAAGTTGCACAGCTAGTAAGGTGCAGGAATTTGAATTCTGACTTCCTGACTCTGGAGCCCTCTGCTGGCTGCCTGTGATAGGACCGTAGCAGCTCTGCTGTGATTGAACTAGCTCTGGAGCACCTGCAGAAGTGGAGGCAGGATGCTGTGTGGCGGGGCATGTTATTCCACTTCCCTGGGCCTCAGTTTGCTCATCTGTAAAATGAGCACAGTGCCCACCTCTGAGGACCATGGTGAGGATTGATCCTAGTGCAGGATGCCTGGCTCTGGGAAGCTATGTCTTAGTGTACACCTCCCCCTGCTGCCCACTGTAGCCAGCCCCTCTTGGGGAACACGTACTCCCTTTCAGCTCTGTGGGGTGAGGATGCTGATGAGCAAGGAGGATGGGCCTGCAGTGGGCACACCGGAAGCTCTGTGTGTATTTGCTCAGCTCTGCTCTGTGTTTGTTTGCCGTGTGCCCTTGACAAGTCACAGCCCCTCTCTGAACCTTCATTCTTCATCCATAAAGTGAATTGACAATGCCACACTCCTCAGGTGCAGTGGGGGTCAGATGAAACAGCGTGAGGACGTGCCCACACGGGGCATGGTGTGTCGGCTCCCGCTTCTCCCGCCCTCTGCACTCGTCACATGTACTTCTGGCGTCTGTCCCCCCCAGCACCTTCCCCCCGCTTCATGACTGTGGGCACCTGAGGGCCGACTGGGGTGGGCACCGCTGGGCTGCTGGTGCTGGAAAGATGTGCTAATCATGGAACACAGGGCAGGAGGAAGGAGGTAGCCCGGGGTCCAGCCTCCCGAAGTCCTTCCACAGTATTCATTCATTGTGGAACCTTTGGCAGAGCAGCAGAGTTCTTCAGCCAGGGGAAGGGAGAGGGCCTTCCGGGCAGCCCCTGGGGGAGGCTGGTTTGGGGAACCGATGGCCATGTGGGGCCCCCAGTCCGCAAGGGGAGGCAGGCGAGTCTCCATGCTGACAGCGAGGTCTCCTCTCGGCTTCTCCGCAGGACATCTGCGAGGACCCCCGCCTCTTTGTGGACGGCATCAGCTCCCACGACCTGCACCAGGGCCAGGTGGGCAACTGCTGGTTTGTGGCAGCCTGCTCATCGCTCGCCTCCCGAGAGTCGCTGTGGCAAAAGGTGAGGCCTGGGTTGAGGTGGGGATGCTGGGAAACGTGAGCTCAGCCTGCAGCCCTCACTGCCCAACAGAGGAGGTGCAGCCTGAACATGCGGGTGAGGCTTTATGGGAGCCTGTTCGGGGATGGGGTGGGGTGACACCGGGGCTCTGTGGCATTGGCTGAGCATTAGAATCACCCTCCCTTCACCTGCCAGTCTAAGGTCCCTGGGGCAGCTGCTGGGAATCTGTGTAGCTCTCACGGGGATTCTGATGTGTTTCCTTACCACTATGGGGCCACACTGTCCCTGGAGCCTCTTGTCAGAATATGTAGTTGAGAAAAGTGGAAGCTGCCTGAGTCAAGTGCAGCGTGGAGAGACTACAAACTGGGGCTCAGGAGACCCCTGCCAGTTACCTGCTGGATGACACGGCCAGTCCTTGTCCTCTGGGCATTAATTTTCTCACTTGTTCAGTGGGAGCAGTCCATGTTGCCTGGTTCCAAACTGCTTAGGTTCTAGACCAGCGGCCAACAGTTTAGGTTGGGAGAAGGGATGGGCGCTGGTCCTGACACTTTGCCCTCTTGTGGCAGCACTTGGCAGTGCAGCCTTTAAATCGGGCCTCTTGGGGAGATGGGGAAGCGGGAGTAGAGGTTGGACTGGTGCTCTCTGAAGAATTATCAACAGAGGCTGCATCCTGGGTTCCCACACCAGCAAATACAAGTCATTGCTTCTTTCTCATTCCTGCCCTTCCCGCTCTTCCTGTAGAGGCAAGCAGCAGAGCTGAAGAGCACTAGGCATCTCAGTGTTACAGGCTCGGGTGCTATCCATGCTCACCATCTGGTAGCTTTATAAATATCCTCATTGGAAAAATCAGGATATCAGGGTAGCTCCCTCTCAGAGAGTTGTGAGGGTGAAACAATACGCTGTACTTCAAGGGGCTTGTGCAGTGCTCTATGAATGGTGGCTACGTTACCAGTGTTATAATAATTAATATTCATAGGCTGTATGGGAGTTCTTATGTAAGCAGGACACAAGGAGCAGAGTGAGTTTGTCCTCATCCTGAAACATCCCTCAGCCATCAGAGGGAGCTGTGCCTTCAGCTGAGGCTGGGACTGTGGGGCCCTGCTGTCGCGTCTTCTGAGTGGAGTGTGACTTCTCAAAGCCACCCCACCCTGGGGTGGGGATTCCTGGGGCCTGGCCCCTGATGGTCCTGTGGGGATAGGGTGGCTGCGGACTGCAGGGCCCTCGCACAGGCCACCACTGCGGCCCACAGACATGGGCACTCTTGGGGTGCCAGAGGGGGGAAGGCCTCAGAGAGCCACATGTGGCATCGTTGCACTCATGGGCCTCGAGGCCCGGAGAGGGTTGGGCCCTGGCACTGTTCTCTGGGTGTAGGGCTGTCCTGCAGGCTCCCCCCACCTTTTCTGAGCCAAGAGCAAGGTTCCCTGCCTCTGAACCCCATTCTCGGCTCGGTCAGGAATCATCTGGGGGTGGAGGTGGTACATAGGAATCCTATAGCGCTGGCCTCACACCTCCCACCCTGCCCGTATGGTGTGTTTATCTGCCGTCATTGATCCCCAGAGGAGTTCCCCATGCATAGAGCTAGGCCCGCTTCTATCTTCCTGCTGAGCCCAGCAGGAGCCTGGTGCAGAGAAGGCTCAAGAAAGTTTTGAGAACGGAACCCCTCCCAAATTGTCAGGCCCAGCTACTGGCCAGGAGCCCCACAGCCGTCCTTGCTGCTGTGGGCGTCCTGGAGCCTTCGATGGGGGCAGAGCCGACCTGCTGTGTCCCCTCCTGGGGGCGGGCTGTCTGGTCCTTTGTAGGGAGGAGCCTCCGCTGGCTCCTGCCCTGGGCCCTGGTGCAGCTGCTCATCTAATGACGAGGGACCAGAACCTGCCGGGGAGGCCTGTCATTGATGCTGAGTGACCGTGGCAGGCCTGTGTCTGTCTCTGGGCTAAGGTCCCTTCTGCAGGGTGTTAGGGCGCCAGGCCTGGCAGGGGCGTCGAGGGCCGGGAGGCTGATCTCCAGGAGCTTGTGTCTCCAGGAGGCCACGGCAGGGCGCGGTGCTCTGGGTTAATTGCACCCTGCTTCCTGATGCTGCTGTGGTGGCAGCCCCTGGGTCCTGGGAGGAGAGACGAGGCCCTGGGGAGCTCATTACTGTGCCTTCCCTCCCTCCCTGTCCCTGCTGGCCTGGCCGTGTTTGTTGTCACCCTTCGCCTCCGGGGCCTGTTGCCCTGCAGGGCCTCCCTGCCCCACGCTATTTTCTCCATGGAATGGAGAGCACGCAGCCTGGCCGCACCCCTGCTTCCCCCACCCGCCTCACTCCGTACTTGCTGTGCCCCAGTTGTGGGCATATTACGCCCTTGACGCCCTTCTCCAGGCTGCCGGGCCCTCACCTCAGTTCTTGATGCAGCCTGGGGCCAGAGAAGCCAGCCAGACCCGAGTTTTGTTCTGACTGGGCCCCTCGCTAGTCACGTGACCTGGGCAGGTCCTGTTTCTTCTCTTGGCCTAAGCGTAAACCTGACCTTTCCAGTCCGCAGCGTTGTGAGACAATTAAAGGAGCTTGTGTGTGTGTGTGGGTGGGGGGGGCGGGGGTTGGAGGGATGGGCAAGACCATAGTATAAGGGGCAATTTGCATGTGTTAACCCCCCTTCCCTGCCCCTCCTCTGGGCTCCCACCTATTTCTCTGTTCCACCAGTCACACCTTAGCAGTAGGCCCCGCCCACTGTGGGATCCCCTGTGGGGTTGTTATGTTCCCCTCAACTTGACTGTACATTCCCCGAGGGCAGGGCAGTGGGCTTGGGATGGACCAGAAATCGGACTGTGACCATGGGGTGGAGCATTTGCCTACAGGCCTGGCCTGGTCCACGCCAGAGGGGTTCACCGCCCCCAGAACCTGGCGAAGCCCCGGGCACGAGGGCGGGCCTGATCCCTGCTCTGAGCTGCGGGGTGCCCCAGCCCGGGAGGAGTCAGCTGTGCCCCGGCCGTGGAAGCAGAAGTGAGAGCGGAGTCCCAGGGGAGCTCTAGGTGTCAGAGAGCGAGTGTGGGGGGCGGGCAGTGCTAGGGCACAGCGCCTGGTGGCAGGGCCGGCTGTATTTTGGTTCCATTTAAATGTCCCCCATCCCACCCCTGCTCCTGTGGTACAAGCAGTTCATGTCCTTTAGAAGTTCATTTGCCCCATGTTAACTGAACACCAGCTATGCCCTAGCACCATCCTAGGCTCTGGGGATAGAAGATTTGAAAAAGTACTAAGTTACTGAAAGTTTTCTTTACCCAGAGACAATCAGGGTTAAGGGTTTTCTATAGTTCCTTCCAGTCTTTCTGCTACTTGGGGTTAAAGAGATGTTTGTGTATTTGTTTCGTTTTTAAACACACATTTTTGTAGTCACGTATGCAAATCAGATGTGGGTCTATCACGTCCTTGACACACATGTCCCCTTCTCCAGGCTGCCTGTCCTTTATCTCAGTTCTTGACGCAGCCAAGAACTCCATATGTGATCACATTTGGAGCTTCTTTTCTCCTCTCATTTCTATGTCTGACCTTGGTGCGTCCTCTTAAAGCGTCTGGTGGCTGAGCAGAGGCCTGTGGGCGGCAGTGGGCCCAGCCCCACCTGCAGCCTCCAGCCTCCCCTCCCTCCCTTCCTCCCTCCCTCCCTCCGGCCTTCCCCGCCTATTGCTGCCCCCTCCTTCCTTCCCTGTCTGTCTGTGACATCCAAGTCCTGGTAAGAACTTCCACCCCGGCCTCTTCCTGCAGCTCAGTAACCCTCTGCCCAGGCCGAGACCAGGCTGTCCCTAGGGTCACGGGGCCCCTGGGTCCCCATCAGTAGACGCGGAACACCTCCAGACCATACCCTCCCCATGGAAACCCCTACAGGCTCATGCCATTTGCCCTCCCTCCAGCCCAGCTCAGTGTATCGCCATCCCCTGCCAACCAGCCACCATGGCCTGCCACGCAGGCACCGAGGCCTTGGTGCCTCCGATTTCCCAGCCTTTCCCACCCCGTCCGTCCACAGTACCGATGTGTCCCAGGGATGGCCGTGCCGTGTGCTGCCACCCTGCCCTCATCACCCTGGCCTCAGTTCTTGGCTACATCTCCATCAGCCTTCGCCATCAGCTGCCTTGAACTCCAGTTTCCATGGCAGCCACAGCCTGTGCCTGGTTCTGTTCTCACAGCAAGTCTTCAGTGGAAGGATAAATCTCTCTGGCCTCACCTTCCAGGCATTTCCCTTGCTCGTCCACCCTGACCCACCCCGTCGTCCCTCACCTGCATTTTTGACCTTGTACTCTCTCCCCATCCGTCCATCTTCTTTCTGTTGTCCTTGGCTTTGGGCCCCATGGTCCATCACCTCAACTGTCTCTCACCATTCATTCTTCACTCACTCACTCACTCACTCATTCATTCATTCAACAAGCATTTTCTGAGGGCCTCCTAGGGGCAGGCCCTGTTCTAGCTGCTGGCTCAGAGTGATGAATGAGACGGACGTGGTCCCTGCTCTCTAAGGGCTTGGGGTCTAGTGGGGAGACATCACAGACAAAAACCAAGAAAGTGTACAATTAAAAAGCCAAATTTAGTGCTGGACAGGAGAGAAACAGCTCCTCCTCATGAAAGAAAGAGAAGCCCCTGTCCCAGAGTAAGTCCTCAGCCACATTGCTCCCTTCCCTTCTGCTCTTCCAGCTACAAACTAGAAGGTTCTGTGGGGGTCCGGCTGGTTCATATCTCCTTTCTATGGTTCTCTCAGACACTCTCAGGGAACTGCTGCCAGCGGCTCCCAGAACTGACCCCAGGGCAGGACAGGACCAGGGGCTTGGTCCCCTCTGTGCCCCCTGCTGTGCACGCAGCCCAAGATCCCACCGCCTAGCCTCCGCCTAGCAAGTGACTGTGCTTGTGGCCCACGGGACCCTTCAGATTGTTCTCAAGTGTCACACCTTGGCCCGAGCCTCTGTCCTCTCTTCTGTGCGTGGAGTGTCATGGCAGCTCCCCTCTCCCCACCCCCAGCTACACTCACACACTCCAGTTCCTGCATTTGCCCACAGGTAGTAGCTAAGCTATTGGTTCCACCTGAGCTACTGGGGATATAGACATTTGTCAGAGTCTTCCTCAGCCTCAAGCCTCCTGGGGGAAACAGGATCGGTAGAGGTGGAATAGAGGTGAGATTTTAGCGGGAGAGAAACCTGGGCATGTGCCGCCCTGTGGTGCAGGGCTGAGGCTGGGCCGGCCGACAAGAGTCGGCCGGGGCAGGGATTCCCCGGGCACCGTCCCTGGGCCCGCAGGAACAGGCGCGTCTGTGGAAATGCACATTCCCAGGCCTCACCTGCGCTCTATTAAATCAGAAACTCTGGGGGTGGGACCCCGCATTCTGTGTTTTAAGTTCTACCAGTGGTCCCGATGCTCCCTAAACTTTGAGAACACAGCTGTAGGTGAGAGACAGTGGTGTCTGGGCTGGGGGCCTGGCAGTGGGTATGGGGGGCCGGGGGGGAAGGGATCCCAGGGTATCCGGGAGGCAGAATTCACAGGCCTTGGTGACTGGGCGTAGAGGGGCGAGGGGTATGCAGAGTCAAGGGTGGCTCCTAGGGTTGACTTGAGTCACTCCAAAGCTCAGATCAGAGGGCCCCTCTGATCCTTGTTCCCCTCACCCCGCTGCCAGGGGGTCTTCTAGGCTCTTCTTGCACGCCTCCCGTGAGCACCGGCCCCCCACCTCACTCCCCATCGTACTGCCTGACACAGTGCTCCCTTCTTCACAAACACCCCAGCTGCCAGCCCATCCGTGGTAGTCAGGGTGGTTGCCACAGCAATTGACATCAGCGATCTGGTCCCCAAGGAGCCCGTCACCCTCCTGGCTGCCTGCAGTGCCTCCATTACCACTTCTGCAAGGAGTGGAGAGGAGGCATTTAGAGACTTCCACTCTCCTACACACCCATTTTGAGGACTGGGTGGGGCTGGGAAGGGCCAGTGGCTCACGAGGGAGGGGAGGGTGGAAGGGAAGGCGGGGCCCCTCTTTGGTGGCCTCTTGCCTTGGCGGTGAGGCCCCAGCCCACTCCACTCCTAGACGACGCAGAAGTGGCAGCAGCAGCACTTGGGCCATGGCAGAGGACGGGCCGAAGCAGGCACAGCTCAGCATGCCGCTGGTCCTGGACGAGGACCTGACCAAGCAGATGCGGCTGCGTGTGGAGACCCTGAAGCAGCGAGGGGAGAAGCGCCAGGATGGTGAGAAGCTGCTGCGGCCGGCCGAGTCCGTGTACCGCCTCGACTTCATCCAGCAGCAGAAGCTGCAGTTTGAGCGCTGGGACGTCGTGCTGGACAAGCCAGGCAAGGTCACCATCACAGGCACCTCCCAGAACTGGACACCTGACCTCACCAACCTCATGACACGCCAGCTGCTGGACCCCGCCGCCATCTTCTGGCGCAAGGAGGACTCGGATGCCATGGATTGGAACGAGGCCGACGCCCTGGAGTTCGGGGAGCGCCTGTCGGAGCTGGCGAAGATCCGCAAGGTCATGTACTTCCTGATCACCTTCAACGAGGGCGTGGAGCCCGCCAACCTCAAGGCCTCTGTGGTCTTTAACCAGCTCTGAGGGCAGCTGCTCACGGCTGCCCCCTCCTCTTGCCCACCTGCCCTGTCCCCTGCCCGTGCCTGCTGCCCGCATGTGTGTCCTTGGGGATGTTTTCTCGTTGCTCTCCTGTATTCGGCTTGGCCAGGATCCCCCAAGCCTGGGTCCTTCCTCCTCTCTTCTCCATGGTGCTGGCGCTCCTGCTCAGGGAGGAAGATGCAACGGCTCTGTAGTCTAGAAGCTGAACTGGCTGCTGCTGCTGCTTTTGCTATAGACCACGGAGGCCAGACTGGGGCTCGCATGGGAAAATGCAGGGTCCACGGACATCTGCCTTCTCTGTGCCTCATTGTCGGGAGAGAGAGACTGAGGGACACCAAGGGAGAAACAGACCCAGGCCCAGACAGAGAGAGAGAGAGAGAGAGAGAGAGCGCGCGCGCGTGAGCCAAAGAATCGGCCACCGGGGTTCCTCTGGAGATGGAGAGACAGAGAGAGCAGAGCAGCCTCCTTGGGGAATCCAGCAAACAGGCATCGGCTGCGGGTCCGGCCACATCCAGGGAGGCGCTGCTCCTGGCGCAGGCCTGGTGTGGTCCCACAATGCTTCGGGGGCCCTCAGGACATTGGGCAGGGTGGGTGTGGGTGTTGGTTTGGGCAGTGAGGAGTGACTGGCATGTTGGAGGCTATGCAGGCCAACTCTTGCTCTCCTGAGAATTACTTCAGGAGAGGAGAAGTGACGGGGGACAGAAAAAAGTCACATAGAGATGTATCTATCTATACATATACATGTATATTGAGAGACGGCACGCTCTATTCATATGGAGTTATTCTAGAGTCTGTACCTACCCTGTGGACAAGTCCGATTTTAGATTCTTTATGATATAATTGCCCAGCTGGTTCACAAGTGGCCCTTAGCAGGGGCTTGGTGAGGATGACCTTGGGGAGGGGGACTTCCTGAGCTGGGAGGCTCTGGGGTTCATGCAGTGACAGGGAAACAGTGTAGTACAGGGGTTCACCTCTGCCTGGGGAAGCTGGATGGGGGGGTGTCCAGAGCTCTGGGGCTGGGACAGCAGGTTCTCTGGGGCCTCAGGTGTCCCCTGCTGGGACATCAGCTTTTCCAGCTCACTGGTCAGAGAAAGTGAGTGTCCCATCTGCAGTGGCACCTCTGGCATCTTTAGTGGAGCTGAGGGGGCAGGGTGGCCTGGTAGGGCCGCTGTGGTGGCTGATGGTCAGAAGAGGGCTGGAGGGGGCAGTGTGCTGTGATCGGAGAGCACTGGGCACAACCCAGTCACCAAGCAGGGACACTGAGGCATGGTTACCAGCAGATTCAGTTCTGCTCCCCAAGCCTCACTCCCCTTCATGCTGCACAGGCCCAGGGAGCCCCCTTTGAAGGAGGGGCCCGACCTGCCTGGCGTCAGCAGAGGGCACCTCAGGAAACGCTCCCAACACCCTGTGTCAAGGCCAGCCCTGGTTTTTGTGAGGGGTGTGCCCATGACATTGCCCTCATGAAGCAAAGCCATCAGGGGGCTGCTGGGCCCTCGGAACAGGTGCACTGAGAGACGGAGGGTCAGAGCCTTCCCCACTGGCCGCGGCTGCTGCTTGGGAGGCAAGCAAGCGGGAGCGGGTGAGGGCGTCCGGATTCTTTAAGTGGCTATGGTGTGGACAACGGCCCTCTCTAACTCGCAGCGCTGGCCTCCTCCAGGGTGTGCTCAAAGTCCCGGCATTGCCCGCCTTGCTTCTCCACGGACTTTTGGGCGGCCCCCCCCCAGGGGCCTGGCCTCGTCCTCTGCCTCTTCGCTTGACCTCTCCCCGCAGCTCTGGGGACCCTCTCGCGCAGACTGACTGTCTGCCCTGTGCAGGCCTGTGCGGGCCTCTGCTGTGCCCACCGTGTGGCCTCAATAAAGTCTGTGTGCTCCTTCCTCCGTAGTGTGCAGTCTCTCGCCGCGAGTTGCTCCCTCCCTTTCAGGAGCTCTGACTGAGCCTGTACCCTCATAGCCCAGAGCACGCCTTCCCCAGGCTTTCTCCCACACTCCTCCTCCTCCTCCTCTTCCTCCTCCTCCTCCTGCTGTTTTATGGGATGACCCCAAGGTCAGACAGCAGGAAGGAGTTTAGAACCAGGTCTCCTGACGCCATCCAGGGACCAACACCCCTGACAGAATTTCCTCCGGTGGCCCCAGACCAGCCTCTGTGTGGGGCACGCAGGAAGCCTTGCTGAGGCCATGGGGCGGCGCCCCCGGTCTTCGCCAGGTCGGGCCCAGGGGGATGGCTGGGGATACACCAAGCCGTGTTCAACCATGCAGGGTGGCCGGGCAGATGGACGGGGGAGTAGCTGGGGGTGGGGTGGGGCCAGGCCTGTGCCCAGGTTTCATCGGCCTTTGTCACCAATTTGCTGCCTGTCCTCAGGCGGCTTCTGACCCCCTTCCAGTCTCAGACTCCCTAGAGGGAACGGACTGCTTCTGTGAAGTCCTTTCCAACCTTGTCTTGCTGACCAGATAAGACTGATATTGCCACATCACCTTAGTGCCCCACTCGAACCTTCTTCAGAGCTTTGTCCCCTTGTCATCTCTAACTCCCTCAGCTTTTGGACAGAGACAGAGGCTCAAAGTAGGAAGCAGCCTGCCCCAAATCACAGACAGGGTTTGTATGGACCAGGCTCTGGCGCTGAGGACCTCTGACTCCGTGACACGGGCTCCCCTGGGTGGGCAGAGGCGATGCCCCACCCTACCTGAGGGCCCAGTCTTAGGCGAGCCCAGCTTCTTCCCAAAGGCCAAGGTCAGGCCCTGCTTCAGAACCCACACTTGGGGTTTTGCTTGCAAATGACTCCTGCTTCGCAATGCTCCCCGCAGCCAGGTCTCACATCCCTGTTCTCCACCCCAGAGCCCTCCCCAGAGCCCTGTCACACACCTGGGAGAGCCCAGGTCAGCCCCCACCAGCAGGACTGGAGCCCAGCCCCTTGGGTCTCCGTCGGGGTCCCCCAGAGAAAATCCTGGGAGAGCACCAGGTGTCGGGGGCACCAGGGGGCGCTGTGGTGCACCCGTTAGTGGGGTCTGGAGCTTCCTGAGTGATTCTGCACTGAGTCATGGTTAACGGGGTCCCCTGGGTGTGCAGGGTGCAGGGTGGGGGGAGGGTGGTGGGCTCCAAATCCCACACAGTCCTTACCTCGCTGCCTGGGCAGCGCAAGCAAGTGCCTCAACCCCTCAGGCCTCCCTTTCCCACCTGCCCAGGGAGCTGCTGTGGCAGTTTCCTGTTCTCCTCTTGGGAGGGAGGTTGGCGGGGCCTGCTCGGCTCCCTCCCAACCCTGAGTTTGTGAATGTTGTGTGAACGCACTGCACACTTCGTACATCCATCAGGATGAGCCCTCATATGTGCACAGCCCTCCACAGTTTATGCAGCACCTCCAAGGCCACGATCCGCCTTAGTTCTCATAACAGTCCTGGAGGAAGGGTAGATGGATGCAGATGCTAGAAAGGTTGTCTAGTCAAAACTTACATCCCAGCCATGCACCACCGTTTGTGATGTGGCGTCCACTAGTGTGTACAAGGTCACTGGTCAGCCAGGGACTCGCAGAGGCCGGTGCTTGGGGATTGTCCTCTCAGAAAGACTCAGCTGGCTGTGTCACTAGGCCAGGCCCTGTGCTGGGTGCTGGGGATTGGGGTGTGAGGGAGGCATGGCCCGGCCCTCCACGAGCGCCCCCCAGTGAGCAGGGAAAGAGCCACAGCAGGAGCTGCTCAGTGGTGCCCAAGGGGAGTGTAGGGTCGGGAGGCCCCTGCAAGCTGCTGCTCAGCCATCCCCTGAGGGATGAGGAACAGGGTGGGTGCCTGCAGGGAGCCACAGGTGCATAGCCGAGGCGGCCTAACGCATCAAGGGTGAAGATACAGGGGGGGACCTGAGGGCGGCTGTGCCCAGGGGTGAGGTTGGGATCAGCACAGCTGTCCCGCAGGGCTGTGAGTGCCCGCCCAGGAAGCCCGTGTCCCTGGCAACGGGGCATTTCGACTACGGACAACGCAAGGAGAGAGAGGGACAGCCTAATGGGCGTCCTGGTCCCATCCCTCCTCTTCAGCAGTTGTCAGCTCTCAGCCCGTCTCCTCTCCTCTCCCCTGCTCCCCGCCAGGCAGCCTTATCATTACATTTCTGGGTGCATTTCCGAATGATAAAGGTTTGTTCAAAACAAGCAAAAAACCTTAACTGTAATGCCATAACATGATGATTTTCAATAGTCAGGTTTTTGAAACGTGCAATACCTGACTATTTAGTCAGGGGCACTGACCTCTTTTCCCTTAGGTTGTCAAGTGAAAAAATGACAGCAGCCGGCACAATAGCCATCTGGTGTGAATAAATCAAAATTACACCTCTTTTTTGGTCAGATTGGCAAAAAATATATTTTTTGATGTGCTGCAGAATTTTAGTAATTAGTTTATGTGTGCCATGAGAAGAAAAAGGTTGAAAAATCACTGCCATAAGACAACTAAAAGAATTTGACACTGATTTTTTAATATCACATACCCAGTAAATGTTCTGGTTTACAGTTTTCACCATAAATGCGTGTGTTTTACAGTTTGTTTGAATGAGGTCCAAGCCAAGATCCATAACTACAGTAGTTTGGTCCCACTTCTTATTTTAATCTCCTCCTTGCAGTTTAATTGCCGGAGAACCGGCTGTCGCACTCAGTGTCTGACTGGTAGTCCCCTTGTTTTGTTTTCTGCAGTTTCCGTTAACCATGGTCAACGGTGGTCTGAAAATATTAATTGGAAAATTCCAGAAATAAATAATTCATAAGTTTTAAAGTGCACACTGTTCTGAGTAGCATGATGGAACCTTGTGTTGTCTGGCTCCGTCCTACCTACACGTGACTCATTCCTTTGTGCAGCGTAGCCACACTGTGAGCCACCATCTGTTAGTCACTTGGTAGGCGTCTCGGTTATCAGATCAACTGTCACAGTATCAAAGTGCTTGTCTTTTACCGTGCCTAATTTTTAAATTGAACTTTATCATAGGTATGCATGTACAGGAAAAAATTACATAGGAAAAATATACTTTATGTATTTACGTTTAGAGAGAGGGGAAGGGAGGGGAAAAAGAGGGGGAGAAACATTGATGCAAGAGAGAAACACCAGGCAGTTGCCTCACTCACATGCCTGCATCAGGGACCAAACCCACCACCCAGGCATGAGCTCAACCAGGAATCCAGCCTGCAACCCTTCGCTTTGCGGAGGACGCCCAACCAACCGAGCCACACCAGTCAGGGCTATACTGTATATTTACTAAATACAAACTTTTCCTAAATTAATATCTTACTGTGCGGTGATTTATAAATTGAGCTTTATCATAGGTATGTATGTACAGGAAAAAAACAGTACAGATAGGGTTTGGTACTATCTGCAGTTTCAGACACTCACTTGGGGGTCTTGGAATGTTTCTGTGAGGAAAATCAGGGGTTACTGTATCTGGATTTTGCTGGCTTTGTTTTCACGGTGTCATTTAACATGTTCCCAGCGCCCTGTAGTTCCTGTAAGCTAGGACTTAGCTCTAGAGGCTTGAGAAGGTTCAGGCTCACATTTTATTTGGCACAACTGCCTCATAGGCGATGTTCTCTCAGGAGGCATGTAATGTCTGTTTCTCTCTCTTTTTTTGTGATGTTTTCCTCTCTTTTGTGGCTTCTTGAACCACAGAGGGCTGAGAGCCATGATTACATAAATCCATTATTCATTATTGGTTGCAAAACAGTGGGAGCCTAACACTCTAATTCCTTCCTCATTTCTTAGCTGGAATTCATCTCCAGATACAGAGCTCCCTTCATCTGCTATTTGGTTACAATTTGTGAAGAAAAGGCAGGATAAATGTTCTATTCTTTCCATTAATTTTCCAGTTTCAAAAAAAATGAGTCGATTCCCTGCCATCCTTCAGTAGTGACTCATTGTTTGTGTTTCATCATGATCCCATGGATGTGAGCGTTGTCTGGTGTGTTTTCATCCATCCAAGTTGTTATCCTTATTGCTGCTCAGATCGGCCCATCTTCGGCCACTGGGAGCCCCTTCGAGCTGGTCCTGCATCCTTTGAGGGGGCCCTAGGGGCTTTGGTTGCTCCCTTGATTTCCGGCATGACCTGATGTTGTGCAAAAGGGAGTTGAATTTGTGTGCCCCTGGGGCACTTCTTCCCGGAAAGTCTTATCCCGGTTGCTCAGTCCCCCTGCAGGCAGCAGTGGGGGCCGCCACAGAGGGCTGGCCCGGGGCCGCCACCGCCAGCCCAGCCCCATGGCTGTGATGCATGAGGGGGAAGTGAGGTCCACGGGGATTCCTGACTCTGGATCTCTGGGCCCTGGAGCCTTATTAGATGCTTCTTGGACCACAGAGGGCTCGGTGCCAAGCCCTGGGTTTGGCTAATGACCGTCCCATGGCCCCAGAAGGCCCTCCCAGTGCCCCGTGAGGGTTCTTCTTCCTCCCTTCTCAGTCCCTCTTCACCTCCGCCCTCTCCTCCCTTCCTGTGCCCGCCCCCATTCCCGGGCAGTCCAGGGCTTCCAGAGCTGGGAAGAGCTGAGGAGGGTGCAGCGGCCAGGCCTGTGTTCTCAGCTTTGACTCCCCATCGCCCTGTGCCCTTGGGCAGCTCCTTGCTCCCCTGTGGACCTCAGCCTTCCCACCTGTATAGTGGAGCTGAGACCCCCCACCCTGCATGCGCCCCATTTTTGATACAATTTTCTGTCCTGAGAGCAAAGCAGGGGTGAGTGCTGGGGTCAGGGTAGAGGCCGGTCTGGGAGTTTTTACTTCAAAAGGACACGGAGTTGACTTGAAAGGGAGAGAAGGAGGCAGGGAGGAAAGGGTCCAGCCAGGATCAAGCCCTTGCCAGGTTCCAGATGCTGCGCCAGCCTCTGACGCCCTGAGTATGGATCCTCCTCCCTCGCTGTGCCCTTGGGCGGCCTCTGGCAGCGATTTCCATCGTGTTGGCCCAAAAGAGAGCAGTGAGGGTCAGGGCAACGGGGTAGACAAGCTGGCCCTTTGCCTGGCACCCAGCAGGCTCTGTCGGTGGCTGTGGTGCCTCTCACTGTGTTTAGCATTTTCATTTTCTTGGTTTTGAATGTCCCACTAGGGAGCATCTCTCTTTACCAACATCCCTGTTGATGGTACGAGACGTGAAAACAAACATCTTTAATGAGCGTGGGGTCTGGGGAATGGCTCGTGGCCTCTGGGCTCAGGCCTGGGTCTTGGGATTTGCAGCCTCCTGATGCACGTCTGGCTCCTCAGTCCAGACGCCTGCGTGTCCGTCCCATGTACCTGGGAGTGGTTTTCTTATAGAGGAGCCCCCATGGTCCCGATGGTGCTCAGCTGCTCTAGTCCCATGTTTCTCAGGGCCAGCGGGTCCCCCTGCCTGGACAGAAGAAAGGATTTTCCCTTCCCTGCCCACCTCCTGGTGCCCAAATTGCCTCTGTTGACCCTTGTTTGGTGAGGGGACACCCACTGCCAGCTCTCAGGACACTTGCTCAGACGCTGCTGCTGCTGGCGCCCCAGGTTGGGCCCTTCCCTCCCTTCTCCCCAAGGCTCAAGTGCACCCTGTGTGCCCGCCTCCCTCCCGAGACCGGGAGCCTCCTGAGGGCAGGACCGTGTCTGATTCACCTGGGTCCCCAGTGCCTGCAGGGGCCCCTGCGAAGAGCGGTCCTCACTGAGGAAGAATGTGCGTATTTTCTAGCTGTGTGACCCTGGACAAGTTACTTGCCCTCACTGAGGCGCAATGTTTTTCATCTGTAAAGTAGGGATGGACAATAGTAACTTACTCATGAGTTTATTGTGCGAATTAAACTGACATAACCCATGGCAGTCACAGGCTTGCTGCCTAACATTTCCAAGATGCTCCGTAATAATCATTGTTCTTAGCGCCCCATGTAATGCTTGTGAATTTATTCATTCAGTCAACACATGTTTATTAGGGATCTTCTCTGGGCCAAGCCCTGGGGTAGGTGCTGGGGGATCGCATTGACCAAGACTGATGTGTTCCTGCCTTCAGAGAACTGACATTTCAGTAATCATATCAAAATTGCTCGCAATGTCACATACTCGTTTAATTATAACTGGAATAAGCACCTCAGAGGAGACGTACCAGAGGTCGTGAGACTGATGGGCAGCGGTGCTGGCCCAGCCTGAAGAGTCAAGGAAGGCTTCCTGGAGGAGGGTAGACCCTAAAGGACAAGTGAGAGTCAGCTGGAGGAAGGACAGATGCAGAATCACTAACCAGAAAAGAGCCTGGAGCAGGAGCAGGCTGTGGGGGTCAGAGGCTGGGGAGGGGGTGGAGGTGGCAGAGCATCTTAGGCATTTGGACCTTATTTTCCAGGGAAGTGACATGGTCAGAAAGCTCACTCTGCTGCTGTATGGGGTGAAGGCAGATGTGGCTGCTGCTGCTGCTGTTGCAGGGTCCGGGGGCGGGGAGATGGAGGACTGGGCCAGGGAGTTGCTGGGGGAAGGACAGGAGGAGACGGGTTTTAGCGGAATGTGCGAGCCAGGATTGGCCTGATTGGAGGGAAAGAGAGAGGAGGCCATTGTGGTTGCTGCTTCTGTCTCAGGCTGCCGTGCGGGGACTGTGGTGCTGCTCACCAGGCAGGAGCCGGGATGGGTATGATGTGTTTCTGAGGGGGGAGGAAGCAGATGGAGGCACGAGGAAGGGAGGGGGAAGCTCATGGGTTCTCCGGATGATGGAGCTGGAAGGAGACTAAGGGAGCCTCCAGCCGCTGCAGAGATGGGAAGCAGTTCCCCCGTTGTTCATGGCAGAGATGGACGCAAACCCAGTATTCCTTTCCATTTTAGTTTCCTGGAAGCTGGCCCCCCATTTCCTCAGGAAGCCAGATGTGACCTCAGTGTGTCCCCATCCTCTCCCCTGCCTCCAGGTCATCCCAGACTGGAAGGAGCAGGAGTGGAACCCCGAGAAGCCCGATGCCTACGTGGGCATCTTCCACTTCCACTTCTGGCGCTTTGGGGAGTGGGTGGACGTGGTCATCGATGACCGGCTGCCCACGGTCAACAACCAGCTCATCTACTGCCACTCCAACTCCCGCAACGAGTTCTGGTGTGCCTTGGTGGAGAAGGCCTATGCCAAGTAGGTGCTGGCAGTGGTTGGGTGGGCCGGTGGCCAGGCCGAGGGGCGCTGCACATCGGCTCCGCATGGGGTTCCTCTTGCCAGCGGTCCCAGCACAGAGAGGTCAGGGGCCAGAGCGGAGTCACACAGTGTGCTCAGAGCCCGGGCACCCGGGGCCTGGCCAGCTGAGCCCACGCTGGGCAGTGGGAAGGCCTGGACTGAAGGTCCTCTGGGTACCTGGTTGTCAAGTCCCCACAACAAGCCCACATAGGGAGGAATAGTTATTCCCACATATGCCTGAGAAGACAGGCCCAGGAAGGTTTCCTGCAGGTGGCTGTGTGCTGAGCCGGCACTCACATTCAGGTCTGTGGTTCTTTCCCAAAGACTCAGCTGCCAAGCCCTGCCTGGGACCTTGTTGGGGATGTGGTATCTCTGTGTCTGGGCTGCTGTGGAGCCTTCCCTGCTCTCTGGCCTCCCCGGTGCCCATCTATCCATCTACCTGCCCGCCTGTCCATCCATTCTGTCTTTGCTGACCACCTCCTCCTGCTCTGTGCCAGGCCCTGGGTCCCCAGCACGGGCCCAAGCAAGGGTTTGCTAAGCTATTGGGGCAGTGACCTGCCCAGGCGCCTGCATGACAGGGGCAGGCCTGGGGCAGGAGGGCCAGAGGGTCAGAGACCAGCCACCCACTCTGGGAGCCTGGTTCCTCCTCCCAGGCCCATCTGTCAGTCTCCTTGGACCGAGAGAGTGAGTGAGTGAGTGAATGTGTGTGTGTGTGTGTGTGTGTGTGTGTGAGAGAGAGAAACTCCCAACATTAAATACAGTTCCCTAGAAAACACAGCCTTTAGCCCACTCCATTAAAAAATTTCTTTAACTTTATACTTTTTTCCTTCTAGAACATGATTTTACTGAACTTTTCTATTATAATCTGTACTTTTTTCTAATTGTTGTTGAGTTATAGTTGTCCCTATTTTTCCCCTTCTTTGCTCTCCCCTGCCCCATCCAAACCTGACTCCCAAAGACAATCCCCACCCCATTGCCTTGACCATGGGTCCCTTGTCCATATCCCTTGACTTGCCCCTTCCCCTTCTTTCCCTGTTACCCTCCTCTCCCCTCTCCTCTGGTCACTGTCAATTTGTTCTTTATTTCCATGTTTCTGGTTCTGTTTTGCTCATTTGTTTGTTTTGTTGATTAGGTTCCACTTATAGGTGAGATCATATGGCATTTGTCTTTCACTCCCTGACTTATTTCACTTAGCATAATGCTCTCCATTTACATCCTTGCTGTCGTGAAGGGTAGGAGTTCCTTATTTCTTTCTGCTGTGTAGTATTCCATTGTGTAAATGTAGCAGTTTTTTGATCCACTCATTTACTGATGGGCATTTTGGCTGCTTCCAGCACTTGGCTATTATAAATAATGCTGCTATGAACACTGGGGTCCATAGGTTCTTTTGAATTGGTGTTTCATGATTCTTAGGGTATAAACCCAGCAGTGGAATTGCTGGATCATAAGGCAGTTCCACTTTCAATTTTTTGAAAGATTTTATTTATTTATTTTTAGAGAGGAGAAGGGATGGAAAAAGAGAAACATCAATGTGTGGTTGCCTCTCACACACCCTCCACTAGGGACCTGGCCCGCAGCCCAGGCATGTGCCCTAGACTGGGCATCGAACCAGTGACCCTTTGGTTCGCAGGCTGGCACTCAATTCACTGAGCCACACCAACCAGGGCCATTTTTAGTTTATTGTGGGAAATTTCATACTGTTTTCCACAGTGGTTGTACCAGACTGCATTCCCATGAACAGTGCACTATCTCTGTCCTTTTCTCCACAATCTCACCAGCACTTGTTGTTTGTTGATTTGTTAATTATGGCCATTCTGACTGGTGTATCTCACTGTGGTTTTAATTTGCATCTCTCCGATGGCTAGTGATGTTGAACATCCTTTCATATGCCTAGAGCCCATTCCATTTTTAATTCTAAGAAAGCAAAGCCCGCCCCCTAGTGGTCACAAGGCCTCCACGCTCCTGGGTAGAGGCTCCTCTCCTCTCAGCTGAAAGAGCTCCGTTCAGCGGGCTTATTTCTGTTTTGTTTTTGTTTTTAAATAACAGTTTTAATATTTATCATTTAACTCTCTTTAAGTGTACAATTCAGTGGCATCAATTCCATTCTTAATGCTGTGTAGCAGTCACCACCATGTATACCCGGTCTTTTCATCACCCTTAACTGAAATTCTGTACCCATTAAACAGGAGCTCCCCCTTACGCTCTTCCCCCAGTCCCTTGGAACCTCTATTCTACCTTCTCTCTCTGAATTTGCCAAAGCCAGGTTGCTCATGTAAGTGGAATTCTACAACATTTGCCCTTCTGCATCTGGCTTATGTCAGTTAGCATACTGTTTTCAAGGTCCAGTCACGTTGCAGTAATGCACTGCTAGGGGCATATTCCAAGGAACAGAAAGCAGAGACCCCAGCAGTGTTCCCCAGTGTTCACAGAGGCGTTGTTCCCAGCAGCCAGCAGGTGGGAACCACCCAAGTGTCCATCGACAGATGAGTGAATAAGCAAATGCGGCACGTACATGCAATGGGGCACTGTTCGGCCACCTGGGCCATATGGTTCTATGTTTACTTTTTTGAGCAACCACTACACTGTTTTTCAGTGGCTGCACCACTTATGTTTACTTGTTTTTCACTGATTTACGTTTTAAATTGTAAAACTCAGGCATGTCTTTCATAGCAAATCTAGAGAATGTAAGACAATCATGCAGAAGATAACCAATGTGTCCTGCAGTCCTGGGCCTCTTCCCGCCCCTGCACGCACCTCTCCTGCTTTGGGTCATCGGAGCTCATCGGGCCCCTCCTCTGTTCAGGAGCCCCATCCACGGCCAGCGTCCCCCAAGGCCCCTCCCCTGCCCTCTCTGTGTCTCCGTTTCCTATCTTTCCCTCCCACACCCTCCCCCACCAGTGGCAACCCTCTGAACATATTCGATGCATGGGTGTTTTTTGTTTGTTTGTTTGTAGGTTACCTTCCGAAATATGTGTTGTCGTTTTCAATTTACATAGATAGTATTTTGTTGTACATCCCATTCTGCTTCTCACAGTCATTTCAGTCTTTTGCCTTTAACACTCCAACCCTTTTCCTAACATTTAATAAGGAGCCACAGCCGAGTCCTTAGCACCTCGTATGGTGCACATGGTGGATGCTTAATATTTTTGAAATGAATGATTTAAACATAATTGGAACCTGCTGTATTGCTTTTCCAAATGCAATGAGCAAGCGGTAGCGTTCTGCAGCAATAGGAGCAGCATTGGTTTTTAAAACCAATTCCCTGTTGTTAGACACTTAGGTGATTTCTCATTTTACATTATTACAAACGATGTTACTCATCCAGAATTGATGTGTCAAAAGATATATGAGCTTTTAATGCTTTTGAAAAGAACTGGTAGATTTTTGACAGCTACTTTTTGAAGAGGGGGCTGCTAAGGCTAAGGGGAATTCGAGTGATAAAATGGTTGGCTCAGTGGGACAAATGTCGGCTCCACTGTGGCCTGCTGTGTGACCGTAGCAGTTTGCTTGACCTGAGTCTCAAAAATAGCCCCTATAATGTGAAGGATTTAGACCATTTGGGGAACATGAGCTGGGAATTCTTTCCACGTTGCCCCCCCAGGCTGGCAGGCTGTTACCAGGCCCTGGATGGAGGCAACACGGCGGATGCCCTGGTGGACTTCACCGGTGGCGTTTCTGAGCCCATCGACCTGACTGAGGGTGACTTTGCCAACGACGAGGCCAAGAGGAACGCGCTCTTTGAGCGCGTGTTGAAGGTGCACAGCCGGGGAGGCCTCATCAGCGCCTCCATCAAGGTGAGAACACAGAGCCAGACCTGAGCGGTGGCCCCTCCCCTTCATCAACCCTAATAGGGGTGGGAGGTAGCTGTGGTGTCCCAGGCAGAGCCCCTGCCCAGGCTGGCTCGGCCCCATGGGGGAAGGAGTAGTTGGAGGGTGCAAGCCGCTCCCCAGTGCTGGGCAGCATAAGCCACAAGCCCCTGCCCTAGCCCCCTTACACTGTGAGATGCCTTGCCCACACTGTCTGACTGACATCCCTCTTTTCTGGCCCTCTCATATTGGGGTGATGGGTGTCTCTACACCTGAGAGTCCCTCAGCCAAGGTTTGAGGCATCACAAGCTGTGGAGGGGAGGGAGCCCCTACTGCCTGCTGGCACAGGCCTGGGCGCTTCAAAGGTCTTCTTTCATTGACTGCTCATGTTTTAGTTGGGAAAGCTGGGCTCAGTGAAGGCAGAATTTGAACCCAGGTTTGACCGACCCAGTGGTGTGTTGATGAACTAGCTCTCTGGAAAAATAAAAAGCCCTGATTTGTGGCATTTGCTGATTTCCGTAGTGTAAATACTACCATGGTTGATTTCAAGCTAACATTTTAACTCCCAGCTTGCAAAATTGTGTGGTGCTGCCATTCTCTCCCCGCTCTGTAGGGGGTGCTGTGGCCTCTGGCTCAGCTCGACCCTGCCCTGGCCTTGCTTCTGAGCAACCATGTCCTCCGCAGGCCTTGACAGAGGCGGACATGGAGGCACGCCTGGCATGCGGCCTGGTGAAAGGCCACGCGTACGCCATCACTGATGTGCGCAAGGTGCGCCTGGGCCATGGCCTGCTGGCCTTTTTCAAGTCTGAGAAGCTGGACATGATCCGCCTGCGCAACCCCTGGGGCGAGCGAGAGTGGACTGGGCCCTGGAGCGACACGTGAGGCCTGGGATGGGGGTGCAGGCACAACGCGACTTCGGGCAATGGATGGGGGTGGCTTGTTTGGAGTAGGCGCGTGCGTGGGAGTGGATGCAGTGTGGGCAAAGGCCTGGAGGTGGGATGAGCTGATTCCTGTAGGAGACACAGAGCCCGGTCTGGCGAGTGATGGGGTCAGGCGTGCGGGGGGAGCAGGGAGGGAGGCCACCAGGGGTGAGAATGGGGATGATGCTGTGCCTGGTGAAGGGGACCAGGCCCCCAGTAAAGGAGCCTCTCTACTGAGGGTCTTGTCCTCCCTTGCCCCCCAGCCTGCAGCTTTGCTCCCAGACCTCCAGGCCCTGGCATGACCACGGTGGCCCGTGGGAGTGGGCAGCCAAGGCTTCTGAGGGGCTGGGCATGGCCCCGGGTGCCCCAGCCACACCCGCACTGGGGGAGGCCTGGTGCTGCACATCGCTCATCCTCCTTGCCCTGGTGGGGACCCTCCACTTACTCTCTTCTTTTCCCCTTCCCCTGCTCACGTCCCAGCTCAGAGGAGTGGCAGAAGGTGAGCAAGAGCGAGCGGGAGAAGATGGGTGTGACTGTGCAGGATGACGGCGAGTTCTGGTGAGTGTGCTCTTGCCCCAGGGGGACGTCCGCGGCTGAGGGAGGACCTCCCGCGTGCTGGGCAGGGATCGCTGATGGGGAGGGAGGAGCCAGGGCTCTAGCAAATGCCACGCCATCTATTTGCTGTGTGGCCTTGGGCAAGTCATGCTGTCTCTCTGAGCACGTTTGCTGTTCTGTAAGATGAGTTGGGCAGCCCTTTCATCTCCGCAGTCTCCTCTGCCCACCTGAGAGGCCCTGGGCCGCTTGGGCGCCCAGGCTGAGCGCTCCAGCAGCTCGGCCAGGATACCAGCAGGTGGGGGATCGGCCGGAGGGCAGGGGCCATGCTGGCAGCCCAGCCTGACTGCCCAGAGGAGATACGGAAGAGGAGAGGCCTCATGGGGTGGGGGGAGGGGGCTGCCTCCTAAGGTGACACTTGGGGTGCAGAGGATCCACGGTGGTTGGGGACAGAGACCCAGCCCGGAAGCAAGGGTTTTGGAAGAGTAAGTTTAGGGAGGCACATGGGTGGGGGTGGGCTGAGGAGGCCGCAGCCTCACTGAAAGAGCCCAATGGTTCCTGCATTCACTCCCCCTGCATTCACTCATTCCTATATTTGCTCATTCCTGCATTCACCCATCCTATATTCATTCATCGTGCGTTCATTCAGCCCACATTTAGTCCTGACTGTGTGCCAGGCTCAAGGTCATTCTTCAGCAGGACACTTGATTAAGAGCCTCGGCCATTTCCAGGAGGGGTACTGGGTACCCTGTGTGTGGTGGATGCTGTGAGGGCCCCAGGCAGGCCCAGAGGCAGATGGCAGTGACCTTGGTACCCCAGTGAGGACCCCATCTGAAGGTGTCAGAGGAGCCCCCCAGGTCCCATGGATCTGGGCTTCTGTGGATGAGATCCGTTGAGCCGGTCTGGCTCAGGGCACAATTGAATTAAAACACATTAACAGAAACCCCTCAGCGGGGTATGGGGCTTCTTCCTAAGGCTTTTCTCTTATAGTTCATACGTGGTACCTATATGTGCACGTTCTCGTTTGTGCACACTCGAAGGGGCATGAGCACCTCCTTCTCCCCACCCAGCTCCTGGAGATGTGCGTAGCATGCAGTGACCACGGCAGCACCCTGGCCACGGCAGCGTGCTTGCCCGGGGGCTCCTGCCACCCATTTATTCAGGCTGGGAACACGGTGGGTAGAAATGTGCTTTATAAACTGTTGAGGTCTGTACATATTAGTTCTTCATGCTATTAATATTTATAACAGCCAACCTTTGCCACTGCTTCTGTCTGCCAGGAGTTGTACAGCATGCTTTCATTGCATGAATTAATTCCTACACTAGCTCCGTGAGATGGGCAGCTGTTGTTAGATCCATTCCCCACTTACAAATCAGCAAACTGAGTCCAAAAGAGACGTGAAGGGTCCGTGTGATGCCACATCCACGCTCCCTCTTGTGAGAGTCATGGTTCAGAGCAGGCAGGGCAAGCGGACGCTGGGCCGGCTGGGGGGACCTGCCTGGCTCAGCCCCTCGTCACGCCAGGATGACCTTCGAGGACGTGTGCCGATACTTCACCGACATCATCAAGTGCCGCCTGATCAACACATCTTACCTGAGCATCCACAAGACGTGGGAGGAGGCCCGGCTGCGTGGGGCCTGGACGCGACACGAGGACCCGTGGAAGAACCGCAGTGGGGGCTGCATCAACCACAAGGACACCTTCTTCCAGAACCCGCAGGTGGGCATTCTCGGGGACCCCCTCCCTGCCCCTTGAGCAGCTGCGGGGGCCCTCGCCACCGTCCTGCCAGGGACTCCTGCATCACCTCGGGTGCACCGCTGTCCCTCTGCGGGCCTCGGCACACCCATCCCCACAGGGGGCGTGGATGGCATGTCTGGGTGGCCATGTAGTCCCTAACCTCGCAATCTGACCCATAGATGGTAAAACTGAGGAAACAGGCTCTGCGGTTGAGTGTCTTGTCCAGAGCTACAGGGATATTCAGAGGCCGGGCCTGGGGCTCAGACCCCTGGTTTCCACACACACAACGCTGCTCCTCCTGGGGGAGCTTGGCCAGGCTGGCTCTGCCACAGGGACCTGTCCCTTGCAGCCTCCTCGGTCATGCCCCTATCACTTGCTTAGTCCCCACACTTGGTGTGTCTCTATTGAGCACCGACTGCATGCGGGCCCTGAGCTGAGCATACATAATCTCATCCAGCCCTCCCACCCCTCCTGCAGGGCGGGCATTTTAGGCTCATCTCGCAGAGGAGGGACTGAGGCTCAGAAGCAACGTAACTTGCCCCAGTTCACACGGCTGCGCTGGTGCCTGGCCCTGGGCTGAGCTTCTGGGAGCCAGCAAGCGCTTTATCAGCATGGTCTCACTGTGGTGTCTCTCTTCCTTGGCCATTCCTGCAGTACATCTTTGATGTCAAGAAGCCAGAAGATGAAGTACTGATCAGCATCCAGCAGCGGCCAAAACAGTCCACCCGTCGGGACGGCAAGGGCGAAAATCTCGTCATTGGCTTCGACATCTACAAGGTGAGGTCTACTCTGGGTGAGCAGAGCGAGGCAGCCGGGCCGCCTGCTCCAGGGGAAGAACACTTTCGCCACCGACACCATCCCTGCCACCCTGACCACACTGGCTGGCACCGCAGACATGCTGTGGCGCGGGCCCTGTTTGCAATACCGACAGAGGGTCCAGCCTGCCTGGGATCGGCTGCCATGGTAGCGCTCAGCCTGATTTCTTCCTGCCCCAGAACCACAGGCCTGGACTCCTTGGTGGGTGGGGAGCGGAAGACTGCTGGTAGGTGGGACTGGGCTCCAGAAGCCCCTCCCTCAGGGCTCTGGATTCCCCTGAATTGGAGGCTTTGCTAGGCACGGGGAGGAGGCGCCGTGGGCAGAGCCAGGCAGGCTCACCAGTGGTCGCTCCTCCTGGCCTGGTGCCCGAGTGCCTTCCCCATGTCATGACGCCCAGGGTGGGATGACGCCCGCTGTAGAGGGTCAGCATGCCGCCAGCGAGAACCTAATGAAACCACGTGGGTGTGCGAGGTGCACGGTCTGAGTTGAATCCCTGGCGTTTGACATGCTTGGTCATGTCATGAGTTTGTTCGTATCATTGTGTTGGTCCATTCATTGTGTGCTGCTGTGTTGTGACTTTGACATGACGTGTCTGACCTTCACTGGTGTGACTGTAGCTTATCATGGCATTTGTTCCAGCGGTTGTCTAGCATGTCCTATGAGCTGGTGATGTCGTTTCACGGACATGTGCTGTGACCTGGGCAGATAGTGATACTTGCTTCTGGTAGCTGTGATAGTCAGAAACCCCACAGACATTTTTATCAGGGGAATTCCTATTGCCTCCTCCCCTTTAACAAGCTTAACTGCGATACAACTCACATACCCTACGATTCAGTCATTTGAAGTGTATGGTGACTTTTGGTGTATTCCTGGAGTTGTGCAACCATCACCACAGTCAATTTTAGACCATATTCATCACCCCAAAAAGGAACCCCACACCCTTTATCTGTCATCACCCTGTCCCATGCACCTCCCCCCACCTTTCCCAGCCCTGGGCAAACACTCATCTACTTCTGCCTCTGTAAACCTGCCTCTTCTGGGCATTTCATGTGAGTGGATTCTACCACTTTCTTTCACGCTGGGGAGGGAGAGGCGTGGGATGTGGGAGGAGTGGCGCTGGGGCTCTGTGACCAATGCCTCTCCGCCCGCAGGTGGAAGAGAACCGCCAGTACCGCATCCACAGCCTGCAGCACAGGGCCGCCAGCTCCATCTACATCAACTCGCGCAGCGTCTTCTTGCGCACGGACCAGCCTGCCGGACGCTACGTCATCATCCCCACCACCTTCGAGCCCGGCTACACCGGCGAGTTCCTGCTCCGCGTCTTCACTGACGTGCCCTCCAACTGCCGGTGCGTAAGGGCTGGTTTGGGGCCAGGGTGGGTGGGGCTGAGATCCACGCCACGCTGGCCCTGAATCTGAATCCCAGAGATGCTCATTGTCTGCCCTGGACGTAGAGCCCCGGCCTGCAGACACCCCAGTGCCTATCTCCTTCCTCTTCCTCCTCCCTGCCCCGCGCCGCGGGCTCCCCTACCACCACCCGCCTTGTCCCAGCCTCTGTCAGCCATATCATGGGACAGGTTCTCATGTGTGCATCATACTTCGCAGTTTAGAAAGAAGATTTAACTCATCTTATTTGCTTTTCTTGAACCCAGACTGGGAGGCGTGGCCCCTCCATTTTATGGATCAGAATTGGGGGTTGAGGCTGGGGATGTTTTCCAAGATCTTGCAACCAGTGGCAAAGGGCCAGACAGACTGCTAAAGCCCTCCCATTCCTGCGGGGGCACGGACCCTGTGGGCCCCGCGCTGCCCTCCCGCCTGGGTGGGCAGCCCAGATTCGGGGCTGCCTGCCCATGTCCCACAGCGGGAAGGCAGCTTGTGTGGTGAAAGTGGTGGACCTCGGTCCTGCCAGCCCAGCTTCGCCAGCTGCGTGAGCAAGTCCCTTCCCCTGCTGAGCCTGATGCTCCTAATCTGTCAAATGGGCATAGTAGTCACCTACCTTCCAGGGCTTTGTGAGGATTAGAAATAATCCTATCACATCCCAACAGAGGGCTTGGCACAAAGTAAGTGCTCACTAAATTGCTTTTCCCTTGGGGAAGGATAGGGCACACTTAGGGGGGATAGAGCAGCAGGAAGCCCCGGGCTTTGCCCAGGCTGAGCAACATCTGGACTAAGTACTGCCCCTCCCCTCCCCTTGGACCCCCATCTCCCATCTCCCTGACCCCCCCCCCCCGACCTCCTCCTTTTCTCCTCGGCCCTGTACCAGGGAGCTGTGCCTGGATGAGCCACCTCGCTCTTGCTGGAGCTCCCTGTGCGGCTACCCCCAGCAGGTGACCCAGGTGCATGTCCAGAGGGCTGCTGGTCTCAAGGACTCCCCAACAGGTGCGCTCCTCAGGGAAAGCCCCCACTCTCCTCCTCAGGGAGGCCACCCCACGTGTACTCCCCCTCCGCAGCGCAGACCCCCAGCCTCCAGAGCTCTCCTGCTCTTGAGCACTGAATGAGCGAACCTTTCCTGACGTCCCCTCAGGCCCAGCCCTGGGACGAAGCTGGGTGCCTCTTACTCTTGGGTGGCTTCTCGTGAGGTGGGACGGTAAGGCCCAGGGACAGGCAGCTGGGAGGGAGGGCTGAGGGAGGCTTCCTGAAGCCAGTGGCCTTTCTCCAGGCTGAGGAGGTGTTAAGGTACGAAGCCGGGTGAGATGGAGCAGGACAGAAGGACACCAGACAGGGGGACAACATGGGTAATGGCCTGGAGGCCAGTGATTACCAGTGTGTCCTCTCCTGTGTCTGAATACATGAGCCGAGGCTCCTGCTCTGGGAGAGGACCTCGCCCCCAGATATCTGTCCCACCCAGGCCCCGCCCTAACCTCCTCGCTCACCCCATCACCCCTTCCATCTCTCTAGGGGCTAACTCTTACGTGATCATCAAGTGTGAGGGAGAAAAAGTCCGCTCGGCCGTGCAGAAGGGTACCTCGACGCCCGAGTACAATGTCAAAGGCATCTTCTACCGCAAAAAGCCGGGCCAGCCCATCACTGTCCAGGTGAGCCTCCTCCTGCCCCAGCCTGATGCTTCCCGGGTGGCAGAGCCTTTGACAGGGCCCAGGAATGCCCGGTTCTGGTTCCCTCTCTGTCCCTGACATGGCGCGGCCTTGGGAATTCTCTTGCTTGCCCCTCCTGGTTACCCAGAGTCCCCTCTGTGGGGAGGGTGAGTTAGATTAGCTGCTATGATTCTGAGACCCAGCAAGGTGTCTTCTGGCCAGGGACAATGGTCATTTCTGCCGACTTTGCCACAAAGCCTTGGGATTTGTTCCTTAAGTTACCCTTAAGGTTGGCCTGGGAAAGTCGCACTAAGAAGGCATGTGGGGGCGAGGCTGCTCCCTGAGGGCAGGGGTCGGATAGCCAGGTCTCTGTGCCTAGGCCTCCTTCCCCTGTCAGGCCACGGAGGCCAGTGGACAATTCTGAGCTCATTAGCAGGAAGCCCTCTGTGCCCCGGGCCCAGCCGGCATCTCTCTGAGTGAGAAACCATCAAGTAAATAAGTAGGGGAGGCACTGTAGGTTTTCCCAGTTTTGCTAACACTGGGTCCCACTAGATCCAATCACAGACCCGTAGATGTTGGGGCCAGAAGGGCCCTTAGGGGCCGTTGATACACTCCTATTAAAGGTAGGGAAAGTGGGGTCGGAGGGTGTACCACTTTTCAAGGTCACCCAAGGTCAACAGCAGAGCTAATAATAGCAGACTTAACTGTATACGAGGAAGGGAAGCTGTGACAGGGGTGAGGGAAGCCCGAGGCTCCAGAAGGGGCACGGCCTTGCTCAGGGGTCACAGTGAGACAGAAGCAAAGCAGGAAAGGGATTCAAGGCCCTGCTATCACTGCCAGCGCCCCCCGCAGACCCATCCTGGGAGATGGGCCCCCATGATCCTCTGTCTCCTCTCAGGTCTGGAACCACCACGTCCTGAAGGATGAGTTCCTGGGCCAGGTGCAGCTGAAGGCTAACCCAGATGACCTCCAGGCGCTGCACACCCTTCACCTCCGAGACCGAAACAGCCGGCAGCCCAGCGACCTGCCCGGCACCATCGCTGTGCGCCTCCTCAGCAGTGCCTCCCTCACGGCCATCTGAGCCCGCCCGCCGCCTGGCCCCACAGTTCTCACCGCCGTCTGCATGTCCCCAGCCAGGGACTAGCCCGGGAGCCAGGACACTGGGGTCCTTTTCTCAGCTTTCCCACTGACTTGCTGTGTGACCTTGGGAGGTCTCTGCCCATCTCTGGGCCTCAGTGTCCTGAGGACCCCAAAGCATTCCTTTCTCATGGAGGAGTCTTCTTGCCTGAGATTTAACATCACCCTCCTTCCCCCAACTGTCACCACTGCTAAGGGACTCTGTCCATCGAAAATGTTTTCCCAAGGCCCTGCTGTCTGCCCGACGGAGTGCCAAGAAGATGTCACTTGTTTACACAGAAACTGCCACATGCCCGAGCCTCACTCTTGCCCCTCCCATCCTACGCCTGCCCCAGCGCCCCAGACACTGCTTTCTCCGTCGCCTACACCTGCTTTCCTAGGCACCTTGAAAGGACTCTTGGCTCTTGCTGGGTTCCTGCCGAGGTTGGAGTTTGGGAAATGTGCAGGCGACATTTGTTCATTTTGAATCCCATCCACCCGCTCATCCGTGTATTTATTCAACAGACATTTGCCAAGTGAATAATAGATGCCCATGAGAGCCCAGGGGGAGCCGCGCCCCTGCCCACGGCTCCGGGAGACCTGGCGTCAGTCCTGGGCCTCACCTCTGCTCCGAGGGCTGCTCGGGCAGATCCCCAGAGGAGCTGCAGCGACCTTCGCATCCCAAATTCTGGTTTTGACCGCAGCCTTCCGGTCTGAGGTGCCCGGAGATGCTTTGGCAGTGATGGAAAGGAAGGGTGCCTTCCTGCCTCCGCTTCCCAGGTACCAGGAGGAGTGAGCCCAGTGTAGTGCAAGGGCCCCAGCGGGGGGAGGGCCTGCAGACCCGAGTCTCAGGACCCCTCTGCTGCAAGACCTGTGCTTTGCTCGGAGAAGGGGCTCTGGGCGTTGGTGTCAAGCCTGCCAGGGTCAGGTCACCCACTGGGCTAGGCAGGAGGACGGTAAATCTATCACCTGACCAGAGGCTCTCTGCCAACATCCCCACAAAACGCAGCCAAGAAGGACACAGCTCTCTTCTTGCTGCCCGGACCAAACTGTTCCTTTTAGTGCTCAACGTTTTCTATTCTTTCTGTTTTAAAACTCAGTTTTAACCAAGAGTCTTTTTTTTTTTTGTAAAGGAAAACTGAAAGCCTCTGAGCCTCTTTTGTCTCCTTAAACTCCAGTTCTTGTTGTCTTCTGATTTTATTTTTATTTTTTTCTCTGATTTAATTTTTATTCCCCTCGGGGAGGGATAAGGAGTCCCCTCTTAGAAGAGGTCTGGAGGCGGGTAAGGAAGAAGGTGTTTGGTACTTCGATGTACAGCAGGCTGGCACCAATCTTGCAGGTGCTGTGACCTGCTCAGGGTCTCTCCTTGGCCCCTCTTGGGCTCCCGTCCAGGCAACGTCAGTGAAAAGGCACAGCTGGTTCAAGAATGGGCATTCCTGGGGTCTTCCTGAGAATTCCTTTGGGAACCTGAATTTTCAACTCAAGGTCTGGCTCTTTGTTCCAGCGTCCTGGCTGGAGGTGCTGGATTCTTGGTTTTGCCTCCTCACCCTGTGGCTGGCTCCGCCCCCATGTCCTGGCCCAGGGCACCGTGAGGGCCAGGAACTGAACCACAAGGAGGGCAAGAGGACTCCTGGGAAAGCTGGGACTTCTCAAGAACCTGGGCCCAGGGCCAGGACTCTGCCGAAGACCAGGAGCAAGTCATTCAAACCTCCTGTGCCTCGATTTCCCCCTTCTGCTAAGTGGGGCCAATGATTCCTGTTTGTCAGCACTCTTAGTAACAAGTGCTGAGTAAGGGCAAAACCATAGCCTGCCTCTATGTATCTCTGTATGCGTGCACACTGTACACACCCATGTAATCACTTTTCAATGTCTGTTTCAAATGAATGCTCCTGAGTCAGGGCGGAGAGGAGGGGGCTGGATAAGCCAGCTTGGGGCCTCTAGGGTGGACGTGTGGGTGTTTTTCTCAGCCACGTCCACCTGGGCCTTGAGCGAAGCAGGACCAACTTGCAGACCTGTGAGCTTCGGCCCTGGGGCTGGGCCCTGCTCCCTCCCTGCCAGCAGAGCTTGTTCAGCAGCCCTGCCCTTGCTTCCTGCCCCTCTGGGTGGGCCAGGCTGGTTCCTGGATGTAGAGAGGTTCCTGGGCCCCAGGAGGTCCTGGGGACGGGGCAGGTGAGGTTGGAGTTCTTCCAGGCTGGGACCGGAGGGCAGGTGGGGAGAACAATCGCTGCATGCGCGCCTGACGCACCTCGGTCTGCAGGGGCCCAGCCCCCATCTGCAGATGGGTGGGGCTCCGGGTCCGCACCACCGGATCTGCGCTCACTCCCCTCAGGACCCACCCTGGGGTCTGGGATGCCTGTTCTTAGAATAAACATTACCAAAATCCCAGAAATACCTTCCTGTGTCTGTCTGTCCCTCTGGGGATTAGGAGTAATGGAGGGAACATTTTCCAGGCCTGGGTGGTTGTCCTCTGGTCAGAGGACGTGAGGGAGGACTTGGGCACTATAGCTGAGGCTGGACCCTCCTGCCTGCCCCTTGTGTCTGTGAGCTGAGGTCACTGGGGTCAATCAGTTGTTCCTTCAGCTGGCCTTGACCCAAGCCATGTCCTAGGCACTAGGGATGCAGGGGACCAGCCACAGTCCCTGCTCTGGAGCAGCCTACAAACTAGTGGGAGGACGAATAGAAATACTCCAATCTGGACACACCGCTCACTGAGAACTGCTGGCAGGGCGGTGTGGGAGGTCCTGGGGCTGCTGGAGCGCCTGCTGGGGGAAGGGAGGCCCAGCCCTGGTCCAATCGTGAGATGGAGGGAGCGGCTGCGGGTGGGGCCGCAGACCGAGGAGATGGGCTTGTGGGGGTGCAGGTGGACGTCGGGAAACCAGAGCAGGCAGCGTGAACCAAAAAGCCAAGGGTGGTGGTCGGGAGAAATGGGATACATTTTGGAGGCAGAGAGGACAGAAATCGATGACTGGGTTGGAAGGAGATGAGGAAAACAAAGGAATTAAGGCCAATTCCTAGATTTCCCCCACAGGACTGTGAGAAAAGGCCATTATGAGTCCTGCACCCACCTTAATGCAAAGCCTGGCCCTAAGCGGGTGCTGAGGACATTGCAGCTGTCACGGCATCTGGAGATCACCACAGTCCCCAACTCCCCACCTCTCCTCGCCCATCCCTCACAGCTCAGACCTGCATCCTGCCTTGGGCACCATGTGCCCTTTGGAGGCTCAGTTTTCCCACTGTGTAGGGCTGATGTCACTAGCCCACCCACTCTGGCTCAGCAAGAGAGGTGACTGGAGTGGTAGGTACCGGTCTACAGCAAGCAGGAGTCTAGGAGTGGGGATGGTGTTCTGGAGCAACTCCTGTGAGAGCCACCTGGCCGAGCATCCAGCAACCAGGAGTCTTCAGGGGTCAGAGCTGTTAGGTCGGAAGGAGCCTGGCCTCTGCAGAGGCTGTCCCCCGCGCTGCCACTTCATCAGGCAGAGCCGGATGCTCTGCCTTGCTCCCAAGGGGGTGCCAGTGGGCAGCCATGCCTGTGCCCAGCAGGTGGCGCACTTGGACCACTGGATCCTGTGGGATGGGCACGCCATCCTTTGAACTAGTCCCTTCCCGCAGACCTGCCCCAGTTTCAGAGGCTCGGCATTCAAAGGGCGCCTCCCTCCGCCCAGGCCTAGCTGCCCCTGGAGAGGCCCACACGGATGGGGCAGCTGCCAGGGTAGGCAAAGGGTGGTGATGAAGAAGTGCCAGGACTCAGCAGGCAGTCCTCGATGTAACTGTCTTTGCCAGTGCTAACAATAAATCTCTTGTGTTGCTCCTCCTTGTTTAACCCCCACCCCTTAAAAGTCATGCATTTCACTTAACTTTGTACGGGTCCCCGCTACGTGCAGGGCTGCTCTGAGGCGGCTGGTCCGAGAAGGTTTCCTGGATGATTGTAGACAACACTCCTCCCTGCCCCTCCGCAGAGGTCGCAGGGCAGTGGTGAAGTGAGGAGCTTCAGCGAGACACAGCTGAGGGGAGCCCTCAGCGGGTGGCCTGCGGTGAGGGTGGTGTGCACCCTGGATGGGGGAGAAAGGGCTAGAATGTGGGGTTTGCAACATCCTGCCCTGCCTGATCCTTTCCTCTCAGAGTCTCAAACGGCCATTAGTGGAGGAGAAAACAGGCTTGGTGGAAGGCACGCAGGGGCCGAGACTAGGCAAATCAGTGACTAAGTTAGGATCAGGACGTGGTTTCCTGCCAGGAGCTGAGAGAGCTTGTGGTGTTACTGCAAACGATAGGAAGCAGCCGAGGCTGGGATGGGTGGCCCCAGCCCGAGTCCCGAGCTGGTGACAACACAGCCAAGACAGACCCCAGTGCCCTGCCTCCCTCCGGGCGGCCAGCGCTCTGCACAGCCCTCCCCCCACGCTGATGTCATGGCACCCAGACCTCGGAGGCCCCTGGGACTCCGCCTCCTGGGGGAAGGCTCCGGAGTGGGGAGAGAGGGCAGCAGTGCCGCTGGACATCCGACCTGGGCAGGAAAGAAAGAGACTGAGAGGAGAGAGAGAGTCACATAGCGAACACTGACAGAGCCAGAGAGACCCCCAGAACAAGCTTTGGGGCAAGACAGAAGAAGAGGGCCCGTGTCTGCAGATTGCCCAAGCCGTTTACCCCAGCTTCCTGAGCCCTCCGTGCAGGTGGCAGCTGCACCCAGGCTGGTGGGCAGCTGAGAGCCTGCAGCTGGGACCCAGGTAAGCATGGCTGCCCCGTCCTGGGCCCTGGGAGAAGGGTTTGCTGGACTTCAGGGGTGTCATGAGCTTGGACCACCCTGGAGCCCCCGTGACCGCAGCCATTTGCTCCTGATCTGGGCCTCCTGCCACCTTTGGGGGCTCAGCCCCAGCAGCCATCGAGTGAAACTGTCCCAAGCCTGGAAAGGCAGAGTCTTGTACCTTGGAAAAGAAGAGAGCCAAGGGGCATAGTGTTCACTGAATGGTACCTGCCCAGGGCTGGGACAGGAGGCAGCCATGCTGGGGGTGGCAGAGAGAGAGGGAGTCTTCTGTCTCTGTCTCTGTCGCCTTTGGCCCTTCTCCAACTCTTTATCTCTTCTCTATCTCTGTCCTCAGATCAGTCACTTCCTTCCTCTGTGCTTCCGAGTTCCCACCTGTGAAATGGGAACACGAGGCGCCACCAGCCAGGGCTGCGGCGGGGCGCAGTAAATCAGGGATGGCACCGCGATGTAAACACAGTTCTGGCTTCCCTGTTCTCAATTTGTAAAGCAACTAACTTGAACATAGACTATTTCTTTCTTTTCTTTAGGAAAAAAAATGTCACTTTTACAGTTCTTCCTTATGGGTGGCCCTTAAATTCTATGCCCTCACGCAAGGCCCTGAATCTAATGGAAGCCCTGGCTCTGCCCCCGGCTCCAGTGGCTCACGCTGCCGCAGGAAGCCAGCACCGCGGCCAGGCTTCTTCTTCAGACACAGCTCCCCATGGCCTTTGTTGAATTCCCTTCCCTGCCAGACAGCCAGGCCTGCTGCAGGTCCCCAGGAGGACTGTGTGCCCGCTGAGTCCCAGGGCTCCAGAGCAGGGGTCAGGGCTCGGGTGTCAGGCGGTGTCATGGGCAGAGGATCAAATGCCCCAGTGCCTCTGAATGGGCCTTGTGAAAAATTGATGCTCATCCTGGGGGGTGGGTCGGGGGCTGCAGGGCCTCATGCCAGGGCCCGTGGGCTGGGGTTGCCTTGAGTCACCATACTCAGTCCTGCGAGCCCTTCCTGAGTGGTCTCCAGGCCTGGCTCTGTGCTGTGTGAGGTGATGGCGGAACCCCACTCTCTGCCTTGGGTCAACTCCCCGACTTTGGGTCAGAGATCGGGATGGGCCCTGACCAGGCAACAGCATGTATATGATCAGGGCTGGGTAGAGGGAGATATCAGGATGCTTGGCAGCCTGGGGGCAGTCAGGAAGGCTTCCCGGAGGAGGTACCACCTGAACTGAGCACAGGCAGGAATTTACTAGTCAAAATTCCAGGTGGAGGAGCCAGTATATGCAAAGGCCAGGAGGTGTGAGGAGGGCTGGCACCTTGCAGGAGCAGTGAGTGCTGAGGATGGTTCCAGTACAGGGCTGGGGAAGGAAGGAAGCAGCAAGAGGCCAGACGAAGCCGTCTGCAGGAGCCACATGGCACTGGGCCTTAAAAACCAGATGGGGGTTGTAGAGCCTCCTTCCTGGGTGGGTGCTCAGGAAGGGTGTTGGCAGGCTCAGCCCATGACCCTCCCCCTGGCTCAAGACTGTCCCTGTCACCACTCTCCTAGGACAGCCCTGAGCCAGGAGACCCAAGACTAAGTCCTCGTCTTGAACTTGCCCTGTCCTGCTGCTTAGGCAAGTCTTGGTCCCTCTCAGGGCCTCTGGGCTCATATGTCCAGGTAAGGCAAGTGGATTTATGACCCCCAAGGAGCCCTTTGAAATCTCTGAATAACAGTGACCTAGAGAAGACCTCAGGTGCCCTGGGCAATAGGGCTGGTGAGGGTGCCCGAGGTCCAGGCCACACAGGCTGCACTGCAACCAGAGGAAGAGAAGCCAGGGAGGACTTCCCAGAGGCAGGAGTGGCTGTGGCTTTAGGAGAATCCCCGGCAACCCCTGCCAGGCGCGAGGCTGCCAGGGCTGGTCTGCTCAGAGGCTTGATATGGTTTCTTCCCCTGCAGAACCGTGTCTGGTCAGGTGAGCAGCAAGAGCGTCTGACAGCGGACAATGGTGATTCTTCAGCAGGTAAGTGTTCTCTGCGCCCCATTGGCCTTCATCGTTCTGTGCCGGGAATAACCCTGCTGGGTGGCTCGTCTTACCCCATCCCATATTCTCTCATCTGTGTGCTTAACTGTGGAACACCATCCCCAATCTTTCTTTCAGAAAATTCCTATCTATGCTTCAAAACCCAGCTGGGAAACTTTCCCTGACTGTCCCAGTCCAGAACTAGCGGGACTTCGCTCTGTCGCTGCACTCACTCCCCTCACTCCACTGTGTAGAAGTTGTTTACTTACATACATCTCGGCATCCCCAGGCATTGCAGGCAGTGGAACAGCGTGCGCAAAGGCCCACATGTGGGAATGCCCCCGGGGAAAGGGAAGAGGAGCTTGGCAAGTTTACTGATGCCCGACTAGGAGGACTTTGAACCTGACTGGGGAGCAGTGAATTGGGGATGCCATGGCCCCAGCTGGAGCCCCCTGCAGCAATATGGGGGAGAAGCGGAAGCGCTGCCTGCGGCTGAGTCCTCCCGTCCTGCTTCCCTCCCGGGGCAGCAATGGCCCCTGACCCTTAGCCCTTCCCCATGATCGGCCTGAGGCCCTAACGAGCTCCTG